AATGCGTGGCCGCAGATATGGGGGACCGAAACGATTTCGCTTTGAGATGGCATGGATTCATGATGACGGTTGTCGGAGGGTGGTGGAGACAGCCTGGCAGGATGGTAGGGATAAGGGGCTGTTGAATTGTCAGCAGCATTGTGGGGGAAGGCTAATGCGGTGGGGTGGGGAGCATTGGCATAAGTTTGGAGACCGCATCAAGCAATTGAGGAAAGAGCAGGATGAGATACGGCACAGACGAGATTCGGCTGCATTGGCTGAATTTCGCGAGATTGAGGAGAGACTAGTACAGTTGGAGATGCAGGAGGATGTATTTTGGAGGCAGCGGGCGAAGTAGCACTGGCTCCGCGGTGCGGACTGCAATACCAAGTTCTATCACAGGTACGCTTCTGCTCGTAGAAGGAAAAATTATATTCCTAGATTAAAAGATGATATGGGTGCATGGGTGGAGGGGGATAATATGAAGAAAGTTGTCTTAGAATATTATGCTGCTATTTTTACATCATCAAACACTGAATGTGAGGATCCCATGTTTGATAATTTTGCCCCCCGTGTGACTAGTGAGCAGAACACTAAGCTCCTCCGCCAGTTTGAGTTAGAAGAGGTCAAGTGTGCTTTATTTGCAATGTTCCCTGACAAAGCACCAGGCCCGGATGGTATGAATCCTGGATTTTACCAGGAATATTGGGATATTGTGGGGGGAGATGTGTCTAAATTTATTGTGAATTGCTTGAACTCAGGCTCGTTGCCTGAAGGATTGAATGATACTAATGTGGTCTTAATCCCGAAGAAATATGTGCCTGAGACAGTAGCTGATATGAGACCAATAGCTCTAAGCAATGTTCTGTACAGGATCATGGCAAAGGTAATAGCCAACAGGATGAAACCGCTCATGGGGAGCCTCATATCTGAGGCCCAAAGTGCTTTTATCCCTGGGAGACTTATTACTGATAATATTTTAATAGCTGCGGAAGTGGGGCATTACTTGAATAGAAAACAGTGTGGAAGGAGGGGGTGGGCAGCGTTGAAATTGGATATGGCCAAGGCGTATGATAGGATGGAATGGCAGTTCCTGAGACGGATGTTGGAGGTAATGGGTTTTGAGGACCGGTGGATTAATTTGTTAATGCAGTGTGTTACTACTGTCCAGTATAACATCTTAATTAATGGTGTTCATAGTGGAGGTGTAACGCCAACCAGGGGGTTGCGGCAGGGAGATCCTTTGTCCCCATATTTATTCCTCATATGTGCAGAAGGGTTATCTGTGTTATTGCAAAGAGCGCAAATGTCTGGCTCAATACATGGCTGCAGGGTTGCTAGGGGAGCCCCGCAGATATCAAATCTATTTTTTGCAGATGATAGCCTATTATTTTTTAGAGCAGATGGGGAGGAGGCGGGAGTAATTAAACAGTGTCTGGGACGATATGAGGAGCTCTCAGGACAAAAGGTAAATTATCACAAGTCCAGTGTCTGTTTTAGCAGAAATACCAGTGTGGATGATAGGGAAGAGGTGGCGATTTGCTTGCAGGTAGACCAGGCACCCAATTTTGGGAAATATCTGGGACTACCATCTTTTGTGGGGAGGAACAAGAGGGCAGTGTTCTCATATATTGAGGATAAGATAAAACAGAGAATAAGCTCATGGAACAAGAAATTTCTGACGCAGGCAGGAAAGGAGATTTTATTGAAAAGCGTGGCACAATCTATGCCTACCTTTTCAATGACTGTCTTTTTTATCCCGGACTCAGTATGTTTATCAATCCAGAGAACAATGAACAAGTATTGGTGGGGCACTGGTATGGATAGAGGAATACACTGGAAAGCCTGGGATAAGTTAAGCATCCCAAAGAAATATGGAGGAATGGGATTCAAAGATCTCAGGAATTTTAATTTAGCAATGTTGGGAAAACAGGCATGGCGCCTACTCACAAGTCCAGACACACTTGTTGCAAAAGTCTATAAGGCAAGGTACTATCCTAATACCACTTTTATTGATGCCAAAGTAGGAAGATGCCCGAGCCACTCATGGAGAAGTATTATGGCAGCTCATGACATGGTGGTGGCACGGGTGCGCAGGAGGATAGGGGATGGTAAAACAACACTAATCTGGGGACACCCATGGTTGCCTGATAATCCTAGCCCTTTGGTGCAGACTGATATGCCTGTAGAGCTCAGGCACGCTAAAGTGGTAGGTTTAATAGATGAACATACTGCTACCTGGGACCCGCATATTTTAGCAGATTTATTTGAGGAGGAAGATGTGAGTAGAATATTGAGGATACCTGTTAGTCCAGGATATGAGGACTCATGGTATTGGCCTGATGACCCCAATGGTATATACACAGTTAAAAATGCCTACAGACACATTATGGGAATTTATGATCACTCGCCTGGGAGTTTTGAGAAATGGACTAAAATGTGGGGAATGAAAATACCCCCAAAATGGAAGACTTTTTTGTGGAGAGCAGTTTGTGATATTCTTCCAACAACTAACAACTTGATTATAAAGAGGGTGGAAGTGGATCCCACATGCCAAATGTGTGGGATAGAGCATGAGAATGTTATGCATACATTCATCAATTGTGATTATTCTAGACATGTTTGGAATATTTCAGGATTGCCAATAACAAATATTGTTGTCAACTCATTCCCCGAGTGGCTAACAATTGTGCTTACAATGTTCACAGAGGACCAAAGTGCAGCGGTGGTGGCCTTGCTTTATTGCTTATGGAGATGCAGGAATTCAGCGGTATGGGACGGCACACTGCCGCGACCTACCACGGCCTGGAGACAGGCCACGGCGGCGCTGCACTCCTACCGGCAGGTGGTGTGCCGTGGCACGGCGGCTCCCACGGTGGCTACGGCAGATGGCAACACCGACACCACCCCACGGTGTTATGTGGATGCGGGGTATCGGGAGGACACGGAGGAAGCTACGTATGGTATTCTGCTGCTGTCTCCGGAGGGATCTTTTATTGCGGCAAAAAATGGGAGACTATCGAATTGTTTGTCACCATTCACGGCGGAGGCACTAGCATGTAAGGAAGCTCTATCCTGGCTTTTGGAGAAGAATATAACAACGGTAACGATTCAAACAGATTGTTTACAGCTGAGAAATGCGATACGGCAGAATACAACTATCATAATGTCTTATGTTGGAGTAGTAGTTGACCAGTGTAGGACTTTAGCTTCGTCTTTTAATTATGTCTTGTTTAATCATGTTTCTAGGCAGATTAATGCGCATGCGCACACATTAGCTTCGTTAGCTTTTATTCAGGATCAGGCTATATACTGGGATTCTATCCCTCCAGACTGCATTGCAGCTTTGATTCATTAATACAATCATTCATTGGTTGGCTTTCAAAAAAAAAAAAAAAAAGTTTGGTAATGATTAGGCCATCACGGTCACGGCCACGCAGATTCAACATTTTGGCAATTGTGGTTAGCAAATTCAATATTTGGGCGGGAACTTTTTTTCAGCATCTCATTTTGCTTTAATATATATAGATATAGATAGATATAGAGAATAGAGATTTTTTTATTCATTAATTTATAAGTTAGTATTATATATATTAGTGCTAGGCACTTCGGTCTTCGGTTCGGTTTTTTTCGATTTCGGTTTCGATTTTTTGGTTTTAGAAAAGTTGAACCATTCGGTTTAATTAACATTATAGTTCGGTTCGGTTTCAATCGGTTTGGTTTCGGTTCGGATTTAATTCGGTTCGGTTTAAGACTTTACGAGAATTACGATCATAAAATTTCAACATTTCATAATTTTCCAAACATACTACCAAACAATACATATTCACATAATCCACATCCAAAATATAAACGTTATATAACAAAATAATAATTCAAAGTTTAAACATACTACTAAATAATAAATACTAACATGACATACTAATAGCAATCTAATTACCAAAACATCACATACTTAGAAATTAGAATCCAAAGTTCAAAGTTCAAACATTACAAACATGAATCTCGTAGTTCAAACTTCAAATCCAATGTTTAAAGAGTACAAACATGAAACATCAAATAAAAATATTCAGTTGGATTATTTTTATTGATAAGATGAATAATCATCTATCTGTATAGTTGATATTAAAAGAACAAGTGTCAATTACTATATAGTTAATTTTTGGACACAATCTGTCATTGCTAGTGCACTCGAAATATATTCCAGTACTAGAAAATAATTATAATGCACTGGAAATCAAAATTAGAATGACTGTAAAGCATATTAAATTTATAGAAAAACATGAAACTAAGGAAAATACTGAATATTGTAAATATAACTCAAGTTAGATATAATTGTGAGGTAAAGAACAATTGCGACAAACAACAAAAGTGCAATGTAGAAAACAAGCTATAAAGAAATCAAATAAAAAATTTAAGGTTCGGTACCAGTAAGAATGAGAACTGAACGGCGGAGCAAGCATCAAGGAACTTGGATTTACTTCTTTATTATTATTATTATTATTATTATTATTATTATTATTATTATTGTTAATTTATTATTATTATTATTATTATTATTATTATTATTATTATTTATTAAAAAATTATATAGCATTCGGTTCGGTTTTTGCCAAACCGTTCGGTTTCGGTTCGGTTCGGTACTAAACCATTCAGGTTACAAAATCCCGAACCATTCGATTTTCTATTACTACTTTGGTTCGAATCGGTTCGGTTCGGTTCGGTTTGGTTCGGTTTCCGAACCGAAGTGCCCACCCCTAATATATATGACTTGGCGGGCTCCCGCTGGTCCGTCAAGCTCGCCCCGCCCTTTTTTCGGGGTGGGCTAAGCCTATTTTGACGCCTATATATATATATATATATATATATATATATATATATATATATATATATATTTATTTATTTATTTATTTATTTATTTATTTATTTATCCATTAATTTATAAGTTAATAATATATATTATATTATTTTGGGTTTTGAGGGTCTATAAATAGCCTAAAAACGAGGCTAAAAGTACACTGAACCTGCAAACCCTTTCCTCTTCATCTTCTTCGAATATCTCATCTATCAGTGATTTATCGAAGAAGAAAACATGGAAGCTTTTCTCCTTTACTCACTTATCTTTACAGTCCTTTACGTGTTCCTTTCCTTCATTTACTTCATCAGTAAGGGCAATACCTCAAAACAAAACATCCCGCCGGGCTCCACCGGCTGGCCGGTGCTCGGAGAAAACATTGACATGGCGGTGTCCGGGCCGGAGAAATACATCTCCGACAGGATGAAGAAGTACTCGTCGGAGGTTTTCAAGACGTCGATACTGGGGGAGAAAATGGCGGTGTTCTGCGGCGCCGCCGGGAACAAGTTCTTGTTCTCGAACGAGAACAGCCTGCTGACCACGTGGTGGCCGCAGTCGCTGACGAAGCCGCTGATGTGCCCCACCGACGCCCAAAACACCGTCCGGAAGGTGGCGGTTCTCAACCGGGGCTTCATCCACGAGATTCTCAAGCCGGAGAATCTCAAGCACTACGTCCCCATCATGGATTCCTTGGCCAAGGAACATCTCGCAAAGGAGTGGGCCCCGTTCGGAGAAGTCAAGGTTTACGCTCTCTCCAAATCCTACACCTTCGCGCTGGCGTGCAAGTTGTTCTTGAGCATTGAGGGTCACGACGAGGTTAAAAGGTGTAAGATTTTTTCTAATAATATTTATTATATATTATATATTAGGGCCTTAATTAAGTGGTGCAAGTTGACTAGGCTTATTAAGTGGTTTGGTTGGACTTAATAACTAGGTTGTCGGACCCTTTCATCCTCGTCACCTCCGGCATGTTCAGCCTGCCGCTAAACCTCCCCGGCACCGCCTACAATCGCGCCATGAAAGGCGGCAGCATGGTGCGCCGTCAGCTCCTGGAGGTGATTAAGGAGAGGAAGGCGGAGGCGATGAGTCCCGGTAAGGTGGCGGACGAGGGGCGAGATTTGCTGGCCCGCCTCCTTAGTGCCACCGATGAAAAGGGACAACATATGAACGAGGAAGAGATTTGCAACAATCTTGTCGGACTTCTCATTGCCAGCTACGATACTACCAGCGCCGCCATAACCTTTGTATTGAAGTATCTTGCTGAACTTCCCCATATTTATGACCAAGTCTACAAAGGTAAATAATAAAATAATAGTTAGATCCAGATATAATACTTTTTAGTTAAAATATGAATTTTAAGAGTTTGAATTTTTTGTTTTTTTTTTTAAGAACAAATGGAGATTGCCAAGTCGAAGGGACCAAATGAGAAATTGAGTTGGGAAGACATTCAAAAGATGAAATATTCATGGAATGTAGCATGTGAAGCACTAAGGCTATTCCCACCAGGGCAAGGTGCCTTTAGAGAGACTGTCACTGATTTTACCTATGCTGGATTTACTATTCCAAAGGGATGGAAGGTTAGTCATCAACATCATACATTTTATATATATATATATATATATATATATATATATATATATATATATATATATATATTCCTGTGACTTGTGGACAAATCCAAACCATTGATCTGCAAGATCTGATTGATGAGAAATAAGTAAAAAATGAACTGATCATTTTCATAAATATTACAAATTTTAAAAATGAGCATGGTCATTTTCATAAATATTATAAAATTTTGTTTATTTACAATGATAAGATCTATTAGATCAATGATTTGGATTTGTCCGTAAATTCTCACCTGGACATGGTTCTCACCTGATTAGGGATATATATAGTTACTAAGTTTATAATTTAACTATTTTATAGGGCTTATCCCATGGCCATAGTTGACTTTTTTTTTCTTTTGAATTTTTGACCACGGAATTGTCCAAAATTGTTGGCAGTTTTTAGTTGTCTAGCACATGTCCAAAATTTTTGACCTCCTACCTTTACGGGTGATCGGTGTTATTGACACATTTTTTATTGATGGTAAAAAATACTCTGTAATAACAATAGACTATTTTTCAAATCCCTAACATGGTAGTTTCTGATAAATTTCTATGATAAAAAATTTCGAATTTTTTAACCATGGGTTAATGTGCCATTATACCATTAATTAATTTACTACTTCTTGACTTCAACAATAAGTCTAAACTTATACTCCGTATCTTTTTGTGAATGACTATTTGTACAGACGTTTTGGTGTGTGTATTCAACACACAAGAACCCCAAATATTTCTCAGAACCAGAGAAGTTTGATCCGTCGAGGTTCGAGGGAAATGGGCCGGCACCCTTCACCTTTGTGCCGTTTGGCGGCGGACCGAGAATGTGTCCCGGAAAAGAGTACGCCCGGCTGGAAGTACTTGTGGTCATGCATAACGTTGTCACCAACTTCAAAATGGAGAAACTGATACCGAATGAGAAGATAGTCTTTCATGCATCGCCGGTTCCGGTCAACAGCCTTCCCGTTAGACTTATACCCCATCACAATTAACTTTTTGTTGCACCACAACATATGTATAAATATGCTTAATAAAATGAAATACGGTTATAAAATATATATGCGATAGGGAATGTTTTATCTCAAAAATTTTTACACTCTTTTTCTATTTAAAACGATTGTATTTTATTAAGCAAAAGTACCCTTCTAAGTTGTATTTATCAAGTTCTTACCGTTATGTTAAATATTATACTTAGTAGTAATTAAAGTTTTGACTACTTTATTTTCTTATACTTGATAGTGTTGTGTTTGAATGGTATGATACTGAATAAGGCAAAAGTCAAATTTTAAAAATATATGCCAAGAAAAAATACATTTGTCCCACCAATAAATTGTAAATGGCAAAATTAAAAGTGAGATGAAAAGTATTAAATATAATAAAAAAAATAAAAATAAAATAATAATAAAAAAAAAAACACTCCAATTTTGAAATTGCAATTCAAGTAAACATCAAAGAAGCAAAGTACACAATGAAAAATGGATTAACTTTAAAATAACAAGCATTACAAGAAAAATGACACTACATAATTTCAAACTTTCCAACATCATAATTACATAACAAACAATGAATACGAACAACATAAACATATATTATTGCAACGATTAGACAAAGGCTTTATTGGATTTGAAAATTGAGGAAGGCGATTTCTTGATGCGCAGAGACTATGCTAATTTTAAAACGAAGAAGATCAAATTATGAGTGATTATATTTCTCTTTATGCTGGGACGACCATACCATGCTGATTGTAAAATAAAGATCGAAGATCGAAGATTGAAGATTGAAGATCAAAGATGGAAGATCAAAAGGATGGAGGATTTTTGGACACACAAATTAGAGACCATACTAAGCTTGAATATTTTGATGGGGAATGAGGCGAACGGGGAGGCCTTCAACTGGGGTAGGAGAAGCATGGAACACAATCTTCTCATTGGGATTTGCTCTCTCGAGTTTGAACCTTGTGACAACGTTGTACATGAACACCAACACTTCTAGACGAGCATACTCTTTTCCTGGACACATCCTGGGACCTCCTCCGAACGGGGTAAACGTGTAGGGTGCCGGACCACTCCCCTCGAACCTGGACGGGTTAAACTTTTCAGGATCTGGAAAGTATTTTGGGTTCTTGTGTGTTGAATGCACCGTCCAAAATGTCTGCAAAAAGTTAATTGACAAAACTATGACAAATGTACAAACATTCTTAAGAACATTGTAACAGAGTCAGTAGTATTAAAAAAAAAAAAAAAAAAAAAAGTTATTGATGTTAGCATGTGAAATTACCTTCCAGCCCTTTGGAATTGTGAAGCCAGCAAAAGTACAATCAGTTGTGGTTTCCCTAAAAGCCCCTTGTGCAGGAGGGGTAACCCTAAGTGATTCTCGAGCAACATTCCAAGAATATTTCATCTTCTCAATATCTTCCCATGTTAGCAACTCATCTGCCCCTTTTGTCTTTGCAATCTCCATTTGTTCTGCATGTCAAAATAACATATAATGTATCAATCCACTAATTAACCAAATAACTCATCCTTTAACCTAGTATAGTTTGGGGACTCATCACTTTTATAACAAAAGTAGTATATTTGATGGGATGAATTTGAACACAATTTTAGACAAGTACTTTTAAAAAGGGTTTGAAAATGAATCAAAACAAGTTACGTGATGTTTACCATGTTCAATATTAACTTTTTTATTCAAAATATTAAACTTTATTAGTTATGAAAGATTAATAAGTTAAGATTTTTAGTAAAGATTTTGCATGTGTGAATTGTATTCTATTAGCATACAATACAAATAATGAAACACTGAAAAATAGCTTTATTAGCATACATACAATATTATATTAGTGAAACAAAATTTCAGCTCAATTTATTCCTCCACACTGGCATGCATATATAACATATTACCAGGGTATATATATATTAATGATCACCACAAAATCTATTACATGAGAACTAACCTTTATGTAAAAACATGAGAACCACATGAATGCACAAAATCTATTACATAGATGCACACTAACTACTCCATGGTAGATTGTGTGCATTGTGTGTCTAGTATATTAGTGTATGCATTCAAGTGGAAGATTGTGTAGTTCGAAGTTCTCATAGAGTGATTCTCACTTGAATGCAGGCATATATATATATATATATATATATATATATATATATATATATATATATATATACTCGGCCGATTCGACATATTCGGTGTCGAGTCGGTCGAGTTAGGCGCCTAGTCGACCGGTTAGGTTGTCAATCGGCTAAGTAGTGTCTAAATGTTAAATCGTCACGGTTGAGTGGTGCCTAGTGCCTAATTATGGATTAATGAGGGGCTATTTATACAACACTAATATATACACACAAGTCACAAGAAAATATTTTTGTAGAAAAGGTTTAAAATAGTAGTTACCCTTGAGAACAGCATCATAAACATGGGGAAAATCAGCCAGGTGCTTCAAAACAAAGGTGACGGCGCTGCTAGTTGTCTCATAGCTCGCCACCAGCATCCCTATAATATTATTCGAGATCTCCATCTCGCTCATCTCCCTTCCATTCTCGTCCTTCACCAGCAGCATTTTCGACAGCAAATCTCTCCCCGCCGCCGCCGCCGCCAACTCCCGCCGCCGCGCCGTGATGATCCTCATCAGCTCGTCCCTCACCATCTTCCCGCCTTTAATGGCGCCGTTGTACGCCGTCCCGGGGAGGTCTATGGGCACGGAGAACATCCCGTTGGTGACGAGGAGGAAAGGGTCCGACAGTTTTTTGATGTGGTCGGGGTCGGCGATGCTCATGAAGAGGCGGCAGGCGAGCTCGAAGGTGTAGTTTTTGGCGAGCGGGAAGACCTTTACGACGTCGTTTGGCTTCCAGTCGGCCGCCATATGTTCCCGGGCCAAGGAATCCATCGCCGGAATATACTGTTTTAACGCCTCCGGCTTGAGGATATCGTGCAGGAATCCTCTCTGGAGGGCGGAGACCTCTTTCAACGAGTTTTTATAAAACTCCGGGAAGAGCAGCGCCTTTTTCATGGATTCCGGCCACCATGACGTCAGCACTTTGCCGTCGTTCGTGAACAAGAACTTGTTCCCCTGAGCGCCGCAAAACACCGCCATTTTCTCCCCCAAAATCGACGTCTGGAACACCTCCGGCGAGTGCTTCTCCATCCTCTCCTTGATGAACCTCTGCGGCCCTAACATGGCAAAATCCACGTTTTCTCCGACCACCGGCCATCCGCCGGAGCCCGGAGGGACATTCCGGCCGGGCGAACCGCGCTTTCGGAGGAAGAAGATGAGTGAAAGGGAGAGAGGGAGGAGTACAAGAGTTAGGAGATAGGAAAGTTCAGCTTCCATATTGCTGTTTGCTTTAATTTGTTGAGGACTGCAATGTTGTATGGTTTGGGAAATTAGAGGTGTTTTGGGGTATAAATAGAAGGTGGAGGGCTTGAGTGAAAGAGACAGGAAAATGAGGGACTTGAGAATAAGATAATACATAGCATATTGAGAATGTGAGAAGTTTGGAAGAGTATAAATTAGTGGATCGGAAGATTATTTTATGTGTTGTTATTAGACCTTGTATCATGTAGAGACAAGTTTTGGTATTCCATAACTTATACTCTTTTCTATCCCTTCTCAATAAAATTGTATAGCATTTAGCATATTATTATATAAGTAATTGATCTGATATTGTATTGTTCAATATGCCACAAGTTATAGTTAATAGTGAAGACCTAACTTTGTTTTCTTATATTTGCGTAATAGTTAGTGTCACGTTTCGATAACAATATGTTAGAATTGACTCTTCAAGCTGCTGCCCAACACATAATATGCTACTATTATGATTTTTTTTTTTTTATGGTGTTCATCTATGATGGTGTCAATATATAATAGAATAATATATGGGGCAACTGCATTGGAGTTGGTTTGACAGTTGATTTGGTAACCACAAGATTCCAAGTTTGAATACACGTAGGAGCTACCTAATTGCCTTCTCAATTTAAGCCATTTATCTATGGACAACCTAAGTTAATTTACCTCCTTAAATATGGTCTTTTCCAGACTAGAATTACAAGATAAGTTTTACTCAAAGTACACTTTAGATAGTGATTGTAAAATTTTCTATTCTTAATCAAAGTCTAATCATGTATAATATATTTGATTGTTTATAAAATTATTGATACACGTATTAATAGTACTTATTACAATAAATAAATAAATAAGATAGTATAGATGACGTTTGATGTAAACTCCTCCTCCTCATCATCATCATCATCATCACCATCATAGTCTATATATATATTGTGTTGTGCCAAGCACCTTGTGCTCAGATGACACATTTGTTTAATATATATATATATATATATATATATATATATATACATATATATATATATATTTATTTATTTATTTATGGAAATTGACTCGTTGTGCTGCAATAGTTGTCAATAGTTTTCAATATATATATTTAGAGGATGTCAAAAATTTAATTGGTAAGTTTGTTAAATTAATAATGAAACAATTACTAGTCATGGCTTAAAATAAAATTATCATTAAAAATTAAGGTTCATACCAACGATTCAATCAGTTAAAAGTTCCAATCACTCATAAAATGGTCAGTAATATCAATCATCTTGATTGGTGGTCAATAATATTGAGGAGTGATTTTGTGAATGTCAAAAGTGACTGGATACCATGTTTCTAATAAAAAATAAAAATAAAAAATAAAATAAAATAAAATAAAAAAACTTTCTTTTTGACATTTTTGGGTGGTAAAAGATCAAAAAATTTCTTGTAATTGGTTATAGTTAAGGAAGGAAAATTATGCAACTATTAGGGTGAGAATTTCTACAATGTCAATATGTAGATGATCATACCGGGCAAGGAAGAGAAAGTCTTATATGAAACGGCCTCACGTGAAACACACGCGTAATGAGCTAATGGATGAGAATTTAATTAAAAAAGATGAAAACAAGGATTTCGAAAGGAGAAGTGCAGAAAATAGAAATAGAAAGAGTTGTGCTAAGGTGGTTAAAAACTTAAATGTCTTCACCACTTGAAACAAGCTAAGCTAGCTAGCTAGGCAATAAGCCTATAAAAGGTGATCTAATAGTTGAGCTGCTGCGTGCACAGAATTTTTTTAGTGGGCTGATCTCTTCAATGTAATTTACAGATTATTATACAGGAATGAGATTTATCAGTGCACATTTTAAATACAATAGACAAACTTGTGTCATAACTCATATGTGTGAGTTTTCAATACAAAACGTGTGACATAGTAGCCAACTTTGCATGTTGATCCAAATATTATAATAAGATTACTATTTCTTACCTTCTAAATTATCAACTCGTATATAATATATTTCACAATTAGAGGAACTGATAGTGATAAATTGTGTCTTTTTTAAATTACTGGGGACAGTATTAGTGGTTTGTTAAAAATATATATATATATTGTTTGATAAATGAGATGTTTACTATTACCTAGTAGCGTGTAAAGTAACATGAATATATTATTTTATTTATTTAATTATTCTTAAATTAATATTTTTATTTTTAGAATTAAAAGTTAAATTTTAAAAATTATCATCATCATGGTGATGGCAAATTATTGTGTGGACTATGGTCCACCCAATGTTATGTGGACCATAACAAAAAATACATTTTTAATATACTAAATGTATATTATTTTTGTACTATATGTACATTATACAATATAATGTACACTCAGTACAAAAATAATGTACATTCTCTGAATACAATGTACATTATTTTTGTATTGAATGTACATTATTTTTGTACTAAATGTACATTATTTTACAGTATAGAAAATATGGTCCATACAACTTGTGTGAACTATGGTCCACACAATAATGATTGTATTGTGATTATTAAAACTAGTATTTTCACCCGTGCGATGCACGGAATGGAATTGTTGTAATATACTAAGAATATTTAAATCGATATATAATTATTTAAGAGTTAATTTCACCAGAGGTCGCTTATAGGATTTCTATTACCATCATTAATTATCCCTAATCTACCATAATTAAATAATTTAACCAATTATAAAGAGAGATTATTAAAAAATGCACGGGACAATTTTTTAATTAAAAAAATTTAAAAATTCATTAATAAAACATAAAGTTCTTATAGTTTTTTCTTAGAAACTATTTAATAACGCATTTTTTTGAGAAATTGGTGGGCCAAACCGCCTACGGCAGTTTGCAGTGGATATATCTCGAAAAAATACACAATTTCAAAAAAACATTTGTCCAAAACGGACAACTGAGTCAAAACTTATGCATTGCCGAACTTTTGACACTTCACAGCTTTTACCCAGAATTATTGTACGAATGGAAAGTATAAATAAATATATTTTATTGGGAAGAGAGATTTTTTAGGAATTGGGCGGGAAGTTAAAATTTCAGGATTTTGTTTTTATATATAGTATAGATTAGATGTGCAAAGAGAATTGTATTACACTATTTTATAATTTTAGTATAGAATTTTAACCCAGAATTATTGTACGAATGGAAAAGTAGAAATCAATATATTTTATTGGGAAGAGAGATTTTTTAGGAATTGGGCGGGAAGTTAAAATTTCAGGATTTTGTTTTTATATATATAGTATAGATTAGATGTGCAGAGAGAATTGTATTACACTATTTTATAATTTTAGAATAGAATTTTTACCCAGAATTATTGTACGAATGGGAAAGAAGAAATCAATATATTTTATTGGGAAGAGAGATTTTTTAGAAATTGGGCGGGAAGTTAAAATTTCAAGATTTTGTTTTGTATATATAGTATAGATTAGATGTGCAAAGAGAATTGTATTACACTATTTTAGAATTTTAGAATAGAATTTTTACCAAAAATTATTGTACGAATGGGAAAGTAGAAATCAATATATTTTATTGGGAAAAGAGATTTTTTAGGAATTGGGCGGGAAGTTAAAATTTCAGGATTTTGTTTTTATATATAGTATAGATTAAACGTGCAAAGAGAATTGTATTACACTATTTTAAAATTTTATAATAGAATTTTTACCCAGAATTATTGTACGAATGAGAAAGTAAAAATCAATATATTTTATTGGGAAGAGAGATTTTTTAGGAATTGGGCGGAAAGTTAAATTTTCAGGATTTTGTTTTTATATATAGTATAGATTAGATGTGCAAAGAGAATTGTATTTCACTATTTTATAATTTTAGAATAGAATTTTTACCCAGAATTATTGTACGAATGGGAAAGTAGAAATCAATATATTTTATTGGGAAGAGAGATTTTTTAGGAATTGGGCGGGAAGTTAAAATTTCAGGATTTTGTTTTTATACATAGTATAGATTAGATGTGCAAAGACAATTGTATTACACTATTTTATAAATTTAGAATAAAATTTTTACCCAGAATTATTGTACGAATGGAAAAGTAGAAATCAATACATTTTATTGGGAAGAGAGATTTTTTAGGATTTGGGCAGTAAGTTAAAATTTCAGAATTTTGTTTTTATATATAGTATAGATTAGATGTGCAAAGAGAATTGTATTACACAATTTTATAATATTAGAATATAATATTTACCTTGAATTATTGTACGAATGAGAAAGTAGAAATCAATATATTTTACTGGGAAGAGAGATTTTTTAGGAATTAGGAGGAAAGTTAAAATTTCAGGATTTTGTTTTTATGTATAGTATAGAAGTATAGATTAGATGTGCAAAGAGAATTGTATTACACTATTTTATAAATTAAGAATAGACTTTTTACCCAGAATCTCTATTATAAAATAGCAATAAGAAGTAGTAAATGATCAATTGGCAAAAGTTCCCGCTCAAAGAAAGAAGATTCTAGACAATGGTATATTATGATTCAGTCTTTTAATATCTCTATAAAACAATTACTTGGTACTAACAAATAGCAAAAAAAAAAAAACAAAACAAAAAACAAATAGTAATAAATGCATACTATGGCATACAACAGGCGTGTGATTTACGTGAAGGAATTAATGCATTTAATTCTATACATTCTATACATAATCTCAATATTCAAAACATTGTTGGCTGTTCATTGAACCTGCAGAATTCGAAACGTTAGCAGTATTAAATTTTTTAACAGTATACAAAACACAATTCAAATTATAACGAGATTCAAGATCTTGGGAATTAAAATGTATTAATTGTTTACAGCTTTTGAAACACACTAGCTTTTCACAACTACTTTTATCCATTACTCCAGTATAAATATCAACAAATACATTGTGAATTTTAACTACAAAATATTCAATCAGCAGAGATCATAGTGAATATTGTTGGAGGAATTACCAGAGAGATCAAGGGAGACGAAAAGGTTGTCAGGAATATATTTACAAAGGATTAGAACCTGAGAGGGAGTAACCAAAGAGATCTAGACATGGGAGAGAGCAGCAGAGTTGGTAGGGAGGGAACCCGGGAAGGACGTTACCGGTAGTTGAATGGAAGCTGTGGAGTTATTAGAAAAACGACCACACGTTCAGAGAAAGAGCAGCTTTGACACCTTAGTAAGCAGCTTCTATTCTATAAATACATATATACAAGTTGTTTTCTGAATGATATCTTTCTTTCTTTGTTGTGTTATGTTCGATAGATTATAAACAATGTGCGCAGTTGGTGTCCCGATTTGCGTGCGGTGCGGCACCTGCAGCCACCTGTGCAGGTGCAAGGTGGTAGGGCCGACGCTGGGATTCTTGGCGTTCGCGGCGGCGGCTGGTGTAGTGACCAGTGGGGGTGGAAGGAGAAGAAGATGGTGTGGAAGGTGATTCTCGATTCATTGTGACTGCGAGATAACGTATACAGAAAATCGAGAAGCTTTAGGAATGCAATGGAAGAGAAAAAGAGGGAGCATGAAGTTGAAGTGATTGAAGTGTGTAGTGGTTAGCGTTGAAGTCAACTATATTAGCCCAAAGAAAAATACCTTATATAAGGGAAAGAGTTAGTAAAAGCAAGGTATGTAATTTTCATGATCATTGGATATATATATATATATATAATTGTATAAATGATCTCTGCATGCATTGTGTGCAGGTAACTACGGAGAAAATATAAGCATAAATGTTTGTATTTATATTAGTATTGTATTTACTTTCATGCATCTTTTTAAATTTATTTTGTTGAAGCTCTTGCTATATATATATATACATATATATATATATATATATATATATATATATATATATATATATATATATATATATCCTCTAATATAAAATAGCCATAAGAAGCAGTAAATGTCTTTTGGACAAAAGTTTTCGCACAACGCAAAACGGCACCGTACAGCTGTGGTAGTCGAATTTGTTTTTTTGCCTTTAAAAAAAAAAAACTTTGCTTAAAGAATTTTAAGACGGTAGAAATGTGAGAGGAAAGAGTATTAATTGCAGTCCTAGATTAATAGCCGCAACATGTTTGTTTAGAAAAACGAATCGATCCAATCGATTTTCGAATCGACGACAACATTTAAGACTGGGAATTAATATAGATGCAGAACTCTTACATGTACGCACAACTAAAGCATATATAATACATGTATAATTATCCTATACAAACAAACGATAACCCAGAAATTTCTTTGATCTTTAGCGTTCTCTTCGGGTTTGTACGACCTGGCTCTCAAAAATAGAAGTGTTATCAAGGTAATTAAGGGTAGTACGCCAATATGTAGTGATGGAAAAGAGAGGTAAAGAATTTGTATTGATGAAGAGGTACGTGTCCTTCTACATTATTCTGCATATATAATCAAGTAATTTTTGCTTACTGTATATATCAAAATAAAAGCAAATGTTATGTTTTTTGTGTGCAGGGCACTATGATACATGCTCATACTAAAACCGCATGTAGAACAAAAGGCTTATGGTGTGAAAAATTTCTTTGTCATTTACTAACTTTTATACCTACAAAATAGCCTGCACCCAAACATGTATAAAAAATTAAATTCTGAAAAGTTTTCATTGGCATATGTACTCTCTAAGGCCTTTCCCATTTTGAAAGGTAACCCACCATATTAGAAAGAGCTTTTTCGTAAGATTTGTTAGATCAGTTTTTTGTTTACATACTCTATTTATTGGTAACTATACTTTTAGCTACGTTTTTGTTTAATATTAATATTAGTATTTTATAAATGTGATTGGTCGTGGAAAAAGGTTGGTGTTCTGTCACAAGGATAAAAACATGATTCCTTGACCAGGAACATTGTTCATACACTGTTTCGGCATGAACCACTTTGAGACATTTAATATTTATTTTTGAAAAACAAATATGCCTAATGGCACAGTTTACTTGGTGTAGCTCACTGATGAATTGTGAGCTGAAAAACTAATTAATTTGGGCCTACTCACATATATGTGGGCATGATATAAAAACTGTTTAGTTGCTTGAATTGATTTGTTGTAATATGTTAGATATATAAGTGGCTAATCATTCTTATGTAAATAAAATAACGTTTCAATTATTATTTAACAATAATTAAACAAATACAGTTTATAAATAAAAGTGTGTACGTTTATTTTGATTTTTAAAACACTTAAATCATTAGTATATTATTTTTATTTTTAGAGAATGACAATTCTTTTGTGCTTTAACTACAAATGTGGTGTAGTATGAAATATTTAATAATTTGTAATTTTCAATCAATGGTTAATAAATTTTGACATGCATTATTAGTAAATAATACGGAGTAACTTTACGAAACACTGGATAAGTCATATCTGTGCATCGCACGGGTACAATACTAGTTATTATACGAATGGGAAACTAGAAATTAATATATTTTATTGGGAAGAGAGATTTTTTAGGAATTGGGCGGGAAGTTAAAATTTCAGGATTTTGTTTTTATATATAGTATAGATTTACATCCCATTCATTATAATTAGATGGACTCTAAACGATTGGGCCAATGGACTTACAAGATGTTACTGGGCCTATCAATTACATGTTTTTAATAGCCCAAATGTTATATGTTTAGCCCATGATTCATAATTAATTTTGTATAAAAAAAATGACTTAACCAAATATATTTAAATATTTTAGATAATTTTGTTAAGTTAGAAAATTCAAATGTTTTTCAATTTGAAAGTTTGAAAATATTTGAGTTCAGTTTGAAAACTGATTAAAATTTTAACAAAGCTTAGCAACCGTGTCCACCTTACAAGGTGGACATGGTTCTAAAACTGTTCATAATTATGAATATATAGTTCAAAAATTATGAACATATAGTTCTATAATTATGAATATAGAGTTGTGAACATAATTATGAACATAGAGTTCTGTAATTATGAATATAGAGATTCAATAATTGTGAATATGAAGTTCAAAAATTATGAATATATAGCTTTACAATTATGAACATATAGTTCAGTAATTATGAATATAGGGTATTGTAATTGTGAATATAGAGTTCAATAATTATGAATATGAAAATTAAAAATTAAGAATACATTGATTTATAATTATAAATATATAGTTCAATAATTATGAACATAGACACGAGTCCACAATATAACGATTGCGCGTGAATAAGCTTATTTTTATTTTTACTTTTTACTTCTTCTTTTTTCTGTCAAAATTTTTTTTCTTTTCTTTTCTTTTTTTCTCCATTTTTCATCTTCTCTATTTCTCCTCAAAAACCACCAAAAATCATCATAATTGAGGATGCTCTTAGAAAACTTTTGATTGCTTTATGTATATACTCATTAACTCTCAATTATTTGTTTTCACTTCATTTAATTTCTTCTAAACTTCAAGAGACTCTATTTAAAGAGTTGAAATATCAAAATTTTAAATACGCTTTAAATATATTTCTTGGTGGTCTACATGATGGTATGTGTCCAAAGGTTGTATCTTGTTCTTTTACGATACATGTCATTATTTACAGTTTTTTAAAACTTATCTTGATGAATGTAGCTAATAACTCTTTTTTTTTTTTTCATTAAGACATTCTTTCCTCATATTGAACTCTTTCATATGTAATTCATTTTGGTAGACCTTGAATAGTTGAATGTGATGCCCTATGAATGTTTATAGTACCCTGACTTAGACAATTTTTTTAATATTTCAACTGTTGTTGGATGACAAAACATCCCTGAGAAGATCACAATACATGAATTACAAGGTTTGCAATTGGCTAGTACTTTTATTGAGCCAATTTGATAGATCTGTTGGACGTGTTGTGTTCTTCTGTTGGGAAGTTCTATCATAGTGTCGTTTCATTAAAAATAGGGGTCTTGTCTAATAGTTTAATTTGGACTTATTAAGGATATATGAGGCTCACATTTGTTATCTATGTTTTGTTATATTTTAGCTCCTGTTGAATAGGTGTATGATAGGTTAGTTGTTGTAACTTCCTACAATCTTTCCTCCTCTGTACACTATTTATAGCTGCCTGAGATTGCAGTGATTAATTCATTCAGTTCTATAAACTCTATATGGTATCAAGAGCCTGAAATCTCCTACGACAGAATTTTTTTTTTTTCTAATCAATGGTTTTCACCAACACTAATGAGATCATCAGCCTGAATGTTCCCACTCACTTTCCTATTAAACTCACCACCACCAACTTCCCAGTTTGGCGCCGGCAGGTTCATGCCACCCTCGTTGGTCTCAATCTCCTGGGCTACGTTGAAGGTTCCACCAACGAACCGGCTAAATTCTCGGACGATGTTCAATCCGTCCCCAATCCTGAACACTTAATTTGGTACCGTCAAGACCAAATTATTGTTAGTGCACTTCTAGGAAGCTGTACTGATACAATCCAGCCACTCATCTCGTCGGCCACAACGGCTCATGATGCGTGGCAAGGCCTTGTTGCAGGTTATGCTAATACTTCCCGAGGACGGATTATCTCCCTCAAGGCAAAGCTAACCAGAAACCCGAGAGGCTCTCGGTCCATTTCAACATATCTTAATGATATGCGAGCCATAGCGGACGATCTTGCCTTGGCTCAGTGTCCGGTGTCTGATGAAGACTTGCTCGTGTATATCCTGAATCAGCTAGGAGAGGAGTACAACTCCATTATTTCTGCAGTTCGTGTTCGTGAGAAACCCCTTTCATTGGGTGAGTTAGCCGATGTCTTAACTGATCATAAACGTCAGTTGAAGGACGCAGATGATTCCCGCCAGCTGCTATTGGCAACTGTTAATGCCATTCAGCGGACCTCGTCTCCTCGGAACAACCGGCAACGAAATACCACTCGTACTATCCGTACCAACACAAGCAACCACGACTCCAACCGGTCGACTTGGCAACAAGGGGGGACTACTCGGCCAGCTGTTATCTGTAAGTTCTGTAACTTCGCAGGTCATGAAACAAAGGTGTGCCGAAAGCTTGCTAGGTTCCTAAAAGAGCATAATGTCCTCACCGCACAGACTTCGTCTGCGGTCCAGTCCTCGCCGGCATCTCCACCCTGGCGGTTTGACAGCGGTGCGTTGCATCACGCCACCTCGAATCTCGCATCACTACAAACACTCTCCGAGTACAGTGGGCCTGATGAGGTTCGCCTGGGTGACGGTAATTCCCTTCAAATTTCTCATATTGGTCGGTCTGCTATTCCTACTCCGTCTTCTGTCCTTGCCTTAGAGAATGTTTTGCATGTCCCTCAGTTACACACTAACTTGGTTTCCATATCTAAACTCTGTCAGACTAATCACGTCTCTGTCGAATTTTTTGGCTCCCATTTTCTTGTTAAGGACCTTCGAACCGAGACTGCGCTGCTGAAAGGAGTGAACAGTAATGGTGTATACTATGGACCAGTTGCTCCGCACCCAACTGTTCATGCTACACAGTTGTCGTGTCTATCTCAGTGGCACCAACAGCTTGGCCATCCGTCCAATAAGGTGTTGCAACTTGTGTTGCAACGCTGTAATGTTCCAGTTTCTATGTCGTCTCTACAACGATTCTATTGTCCGTCCTGCAACATACATAAAAGTCATAAATTGCCGTTCGCAAAAAATACTTTAGTCAGTACTAAACCTCTGCAATTAATCTACACTGATGTGTGGGGGCCAACTGAAAAATCCATTGACGAATTCCGCTATTATGTAATCTTTGTAGATCATTTTTCAAAATAAATTTGGCTATATCCCATGAAGCGCAAGTCGGATGTGTTTTCTGTATTTACTCAGTTCAAAAAATTAGTGGAAAAATTTCTTGGCCTTTCGATTATTTCCGTTTATTCAGACAATGGGGGGAGTTTATAAAACTTGTACCATTTCTAAATGATCATGGTATTTCTCATTTCACTACCCCACCACACACTCCTGAGCATAATGGTGTTGCAGAGCGACGGCACAGGCATGTCGTCGAAACCGGCTTGTCTCTTCTTCACTCCGCGTCTTTGCCATCCTCATACTGGACCTACGCCTTTCAGACAGCCGTATATCTTATTAACCGGCTCCCTACTCCAATTTTAGGTAATCAATCTCCATTTTATGTCTTGTTCCAACAATTGCCTAATTATGCCAAGTTACAACCCTTTGGTTGCCTGTGTTTTCCCTGGTTGCGTCCCTATAACACCAAGAAACTACAACCAAAGTCACGTCCATGTATTTTCCTTGGCTACTCGAACACCCAATTTGGTTATAAATGTCTAGATTTTGGTTCGAATCGTATTAATGTATCTAGGCATGTTAGATTTGTGCCCCATGTGTTTCCTTATAACGATTTGCAGAAGTCATCTAACAGCTTACCCTCTGCTTCTAATGATTCAGAATCACGTCATATTTTGTGCAAGTCATCTCCTTTGACTACACAGGTGGAACCCGTGGGTGTTCCAACACTAGCTCCAACTCCAGTTCCAACACCTGTTCCAACACCGGTTCCAACACCAGTTCCAACTCCAGTTCCAACACCAGTTCCAACACCATCACCGTCAGCTGCGTCCAATTCGTCTTCTCCTACTGTCTCAGAAAATGGCCAACATGCATCCCAATCCGTGTCTGACTCACAACCTGTCTCCACCTCCGAAACGTCTCAACCGTTGAATAATGTTCGTCGTTTCACTCGGGAGCGTCGTCCTAATCCTAGGTATTCTGATTACGTTATTAACCACATCACTTCCCATCCCTTGCCTCCTGCTTTAGAACCTTCTACCGTCGCCCAGACTCTTAAAGACGCTCGGTGGAGGAAAGCAATGGATGAGGAGTTTGAAGCGCTGCAACGTAACAACACGTAGCAACTGGTTCCCCGAGGAGCGGCGGATCCGATTGGCTGCAAATGGGTCTTTCGTGTTAAGCGCAAATCGGATGGGTCGGTTGATCGCTTTAAAGCGCGACTTGTCGCTAAGGGATTCCTGCAGACTGCTGGTCGGGATTATTTTGAGACGTATAGTCCGGTTATGAGACCGGTCACGGTCCGTATCGTGCTGACCATTGCTTTGAGTAATAACTTGGGTCTGCGCCAGCTAGATATCAATAATGCGTTCCTTAATGGAACATTGCATGAGGAGGTTTTTATGGAGCAGCCTCCCAGATTTGTTGATCCGTCCTTTCCAGCTCATGTATGCAAACTGACCAAAGCCTTATATGGTCTTAAGCAGGCTCCCAGGGCTTGGTACTTGGAACTTTCTCAGTTCTTGTTGCGTTGTGGGTTTTTGAAGTCACAGGCAGATGCGTCTTTGTTTGTTTATTCTGCTAATGATATTATTGTTTATTTCCTGGTGTATGTCGATGATATTATACTAACAGGAAACAATGTTGTATGGCTTGATCAATTTGTTGGCGTGTTGTCTGCTCAGTTTGCTCTTAAGGATCTTGGTCCCTTGCATCATTTCCTGGGTATTGAGGTGGTTCCAACACCGGGTGGTGTGTTCCTGTCTCAGAGTCAGTATATCACGGATATTCTGGTCCGGTTCAAGATGGATGGTGCAAAGGCTGTTTCAACACCGCTGGCTACCTCGGACAAACTGCTTCCTAAGCAATCTGGTGTAGTACCAGTTGATGTCACTCAGTTTCGGCGTCTCCTTGGCTTGTTGCAGTATCTTGTCATCACTAGGCCAGATGTGTCCTATGCGGTCAATCGACTTTCGCAGTTCATGCACGCACCTACGGAGTTGCACTGGCAGGCTGCTAGACGGTTGCTGCGTTATCTAAAGGGAACAGTTTGTCATGGTTTGTTCCTTCGTACCGGGTAGCCACTTATGCTGAATGTGTATACAGATGCTAATTGGGGAGGCTGCACCACTGATGGCCGTTCCACTACTGTGTACTTAGTATATCTTGGTTCCAATCTCATTTCTTGGAAATCTGCTCGCCAGAAATCTGTGTCGCGGTCGTCTACGGAGTCTGAATACCGAGCCTGGCGAATGCTGCTGCTGAAGTCCTGTGGATTAAAAATTTGCTTTGTGAGCTCCGGTTGCAACTAATGGAATCTCCGGTCCTGTTCTGTGACAATCTTAGTGCGACATACGTGTGCAAGAACCCCGTGTTCCATTCCCGTATGAAGCATCTAGCGCTTGATTACTTCTTTGTCCGTGACTTAGTAGCTAATGGCTCACTGGTGGTTCGGCATATCCCTTCGTCCGCTCAGCTTGCTGACTTCCTTACCAAACCGTTGGGCAAGGCCGTGTTTCTTCGGTTTCGGTCCAAGATTGGAGTCTCTGATGGGTCCTCAATCTTGCGGGGGCATATTAAGGATATATGAGGCTCACATTTGTTATCTATGTTTTGTTATATTTTAGCTCCTGTTGAATAGGTGTATGATAGGTTAGTTGTTGTACCTTCCTACTATCTTTCCTCCTCTGTACACTATTTATAGCTGCCTGAGATTGCAGTGGTTAATTCATTCAGTTCTATAAACTCTATAGGATTTTCATTGTTTTTGTTTCAAGATGCAATCTAAATATAATAGATTAAACTACAAAGGCAAAGACAATAATAGAGAGACAATAACATAGGGAGCTAGAGAGAGAGAATTTTTTAATATTTAAATTTTGGTATAATGATAGAGATTTTTATTTATAAAGGTAAGAAACATAATAAGACATATGAAAGATGAAGATAGAAGTCTAGAAAATCTAAAAAAATCTCTATAACTAAGGTAATTGAGTTCAAATCCATTTGGACTTAAAAGTTATTGTATTCTATGACAAAAATAAAAAATGTAATTAAATTTTTTTTTGTCCAAATATAATGCATAAAAATTTAACAAAAAAAGAATACAATTCAAAAGTTAATTTAAAAGTGTCATTTTTCGTTCATATTTAAATACAAAATTATTCACCAAAATTTCAATGTCACTTTTTTCTAAAATTTTATTTTCAATTAAAATTAAAACCAATCTATGAATTCAACAACAACAACAACAACAACAACAACAACAACAAAAATAGTAATAAAAAAAATAAAAATATCAAGTATAAAAAATAATAGATCATATCTAAAATATTTTTAAAAAAATAAAAATAAAAATTGGGGGTCCTGTGCGATCGCCCTTGCCAGACATGGCCAAGACCGACCCTGTTAAATCTATCAATAGATCTATCAAGATCTGCTAGAATCAATAATACGATGTAAGTGTTAGGATCATCAAGATGACTTCCGCTGAAATATAAATTTGCGGCACAATAATTTGTTGTTTATGAGATTTTCTAAATAGGATCTGCTAGATAAATCAAACGAATAAACTAAGTCCTATTTTGCCCTTTACAAATTCTCCTATCAAACACAATACATGCAATAGAAATTTTGTGATTCTAAAATCCTTAACTCTACATGTTGAGCATATAGTCATTAATGTGCAATCCAACTATCAGCTTGGGCTTTTTAGTTGAGATGGAGCATATGTTTTAATTTGGTATCAGAGTCAGACCAAAGGTCACACCGCCAACTATCAGCTTAGGCGCTTAGGATTTTAGCTGAGATGGAGCATATGCTTCAATTCTACACATTATAAACATCATTAAAATCTAAAGAATATTTTATATATATGTATATATAGAGAGGGGGCTATGGATCATGTGAGAACACTTTTCATATATGAGAGAAATAAAAAATAATCTGAACTTTACATATGTAAAAATTCGAAGGATCTTATCAAATTTTTAAAAGAAAAAAAAAAAAAAAAAAAAAAAAAAAAAAAAAAGACACCGTGACAATTTTGTAATTAACATCAACTTCGTTGTGCAAACTTAACACTTAAATATGCAAATCTGGTAAATTGTATAAAATCAATGAAAAGACTAAATTTTAAATGGTTACACCTTAAGCAGTAAAAAGTGAATCACTGGACCAAATAAAATCAAAACTTCAGTTATAAAACTCCAAAATCGAAAACTTAATTGCAATGTACTTCGCATTTTTACAAGTGTAAACTTTTAATACTAAATATGCAAAATGTTAACACTAAATGTGCAAAATGTTAATACTAAATGTGTCATAGCGTTTGCATAATAATGTTGGTGATAATTACGAAAATGTCGCCGCATTTAAAAAAAAAAAAATCTAATTTCGTGCGTTCAAATTTTCCAGATGTATATAAAGTTGTAATTAGTTCTTAGTTTTCTTCTACGGACTTGTTCTCACACACACACACACACACACACACACACACACACACACACACACACACACACACACACACACACACACACACACACACACACACACACACACACACACACACACACACACACATATATATATATATATATATATATATATATATATATATATATATATGTTCATATGAGAACTTATATTAACATGTGAACTTGAGAACTAATCTGGCCCTTTATTTAGATTAGTGAACGGTGCATGTTACGTATAACACAATACAACGCGTAATGCACTAAAGAGTGCAAACACAATACACACACGTTGTGCACCGCGTCTTGGGTTGATTTTTTTCGTACACTATGTTTTGGGCTGTTGGTTGATACAACATTAAGAATGTGCACAGGTTCTCAGGTTCACACAATAAGATGGGTTTTCACCTCAACATAAACATATATATCGGATACAATTGATATTATCATTAATGGACACTCTGATTTTTCTCTATAACTTAGTTCCCAATATGATCTTTCTAGCTGCCGGTCGAGATGATACATAGATGGGCCCTTTTACTTCAATTCCCGGAAGAAGAAACCAAATGTGTCTTCATCATTAGCTTGCGAAGGTTCCTAGCCTTGAGTTGTGACTTTGTTGCCTCACTAAAACACTACATACGTTTTCAAATCATACTCTTCTCCCTTTATGCACCAACCTCTAATTTTAGGCAAAGACAAGACTTTTATGCATGTCTTGCTGATTTTGACTTGGGTCATGTGTTTTTTTAATTTTTTTCCTACCAATTTAATATATATATTATCAATCTTCTGTCGGGTGTCAATCAATAATATAATTAATTTAGAATAATGCTATAATTACTCTCACTTTCTACTCCATTTTTTAGTTCTTTGCTGATATATCATATTGATAAAAAAAAAAAAAAAAAAAATGAATATCTTCGCTCAACAGAATTTGAATATGTGGTCATGTTTTATCAATTAATCAACTAGAATTATACATCGAGACTAATTCTGATTGTATCGAGTAGAACTTTAAAGGCAACTCAATAAATAATAAATAAATAAAAATGAATAGCAGAATTTAAGGTGGGTACGATGGATGTTTTTGGTCACTTTCCAAATTCCGAGATAAGAGTCAATGCACATGATGATTGTACAAAATGAACTTGGAAAATTTCTAACTATCTTTGTATCCGTTGGCATGTTCCCCGTTCACTGCGGCGATTGATTGGATCCCCTAATTCTCATCATCTTCACCCCACACATGAATTCAAGACTTGAGATTATGGAATAACATACATCAATTTTTATTTCCAACTTTCAACTTTGTAGACTTGTAACTGTATTAACAATTATCTTATGTACTCTTTCATACTATTGAACTAATCAACAAGTTTTTAGATATCTCAATGTTTATGAATTGGCCAAATTTAATTCAGAACGTCTCGAATACTCACTTTCACACAAATTTCACCAAGTTTCGAATGAGGATATTTAAGATGTTTTGAACTAAATTTGATTAATTTGAAAAAAAAAACTAGAGATTAGAAGTGGTTAAACTGATTATCGAGAAGTAAAACTGGTACTATGCCAAGGACATTGTGGTCTAATGGCACCAAGTTGCTTTCTCATATAAGAGATTATGAGTTCGAGCCTCAGTAGATGCGGTATTAACTCTTTGTGCTTCAGTAGGTTAAAAAAGTAGTTATGAACAGATACTGCATTGTAACAGAGTCAGTAACACTCAAAAAAAAATGGTACTATAACTGCCATATGTGATATAAAAGTAGTAACTTTCTTAAATCGCTATGATTAAAAAGTAGTAAACTTTTGCATAAAGTTATTTGTTTAAAGAAAAAAAAAAAAAAAAACTACAAATTTGACCTCCCTCCCCCATCTACCGGGTTGACCTGTGTTGCTGTCCGCACGAGCTAGCTCAATGGTTCAGTAGACAGTACTTGAGAGAAGAGACAAGGTTTGTATCACGACGGCAGCAGTGTGGGGATTATGCTCAAAGTGGACATATCCGCGCACGAGTCACCATAATTTACATTTTTCCAGATACTCTGTCAGGCCGAGATGTAGGGGGCTTTGGGGTTGGGGATTTAGCCTTATGAGAGAAGGGCTTTGGGGTTGGGAATTTTTCCAGATACTCTGTCAGGCCGAGATGTAGGGGGCTTTGGGGTTGGGGATTATGCTCAAAGTGTTGCTTCTTGTTGTTACAAAAGGAGTGATTTATATTATTCCAAATACTCCTTTAATCTTTTATCCATGTATAAAAAATGTTAAGAATTTGAAACTCAAATATAAAATATGTTTAGAATTTGAAACTCAAATATAAAAGAGATAATGATTATTAAAAGTAGTAGTTGAATGAGATTAATTAAGCAACCTAAGTGGGTCTCTTTTTCTTCTCTATTGCTTCAGTCTTCTGGAAAATTAGTAGACCCCTTCTGTAATCCACACACTACTTAATTAGCTGGACAGTGTCAACTAATGACCTAAGTAGCTACAAAAACTTAGATATACACATGCAAATGATTGATTGGAATTGAAACTCCCAATGCACACCTCATCAACCGATTCAAAATAATTTCATAAGTCTTACTTTGCTAGCAACAGCAGAGTACACAATTGAGCATGCACGAGAACCTGTAGGCCCGTTGAAGCACATCCCGCAATTTACCTTATTTGTCAATCGTTAGAGCAAGAACGATGAAGGAGCCTTAAGTTTGGGTTCCAAATTAAACTTATTAAATAATTGACTGGAAGCCTTTAGTGCATTGGTCTAGTGGATGAAAAGTCTCCCTCAAGACTTACTTCTACCAATCTCCAGAACAATGACTACGAGAACCTGTAAACCAGTTAAGATACCAATCTCCGAAGCAAGAGCGATAAAGGAGCCTTCAGTGCATTGATCTAGTGGATGAAAAGTCTCACTCCAGACTTGCTTCTAGCAACAGGTCGGGTGGGACCGGGATTCGCTTCTTGCCATAAACATTAGGGGTCTGGGTTAAGCTGCGCTCATTATACGCAAAAGGGATGTAGTACAACAAAATCAGCTCATTTAAGACTTGCTTTCAGTGATAATGCATGTGAGAATTTGAGGGGTAACGAAGTCATCAAGAAATTTGGATTATAAAAATAAAATAAAATAAAAAATTGATTGGAAAATTGGGGTCAGCTCTAGCCCCACCAAACAAGGCCAAAACATGTGTTGGGACCCACTCCCTCTACATACATTCTATCCTTGAAATAATATATATAGTTGCATTTGTTGAACTAAAAAACATTTCTCAAATGCAAACTTAAACCACAGCACCCATCACCACTACACCTTCCACACCAAACATCATCTATCTATCCATCCATCCATCCATCCATCTATCCATCTCCCATTCTTCAATTCATTCAATTCCCCATACAATAATGGCCAAGGATGATGACCAAGACTTCAGCTTCCCAGCCACCGTGGAAACTCCACCGCCGCCGCGTTTTCTTGAACCGCCGCCGATTTGGTGGCGGACCTCGGCGGCCTCCCACCGTGAGAGCCCGAAGAAAGAAGAAGATGATGATGTAGATCTAGATAGCTTCTGCTACTTCTCTTCATTGTCAAAGGAGGCCACTATTCATGCCCAAAGAAGGAGCTTTTCTTGCATAGAAGGAAGAACAAAGAGGAGAGATGAAGAAGAAGAAGAAGATGATGATGATGGGGAAGAAGAAGAAGAGGAGAAGATGGATATGTTATGGGAGGATTTCAATGAAGAGTACAAGAGAAGTAGAGATTTGTGTGGAGGTGGGAATAAGAAGATGGAATTGAAATTTGTGCAGTCATTGAAGCTCACCAAAGCTGTGAAGAGGCCAAGAATGGTGGTTGTCATGAAGGTGTTGAAGAAGGTTTTCTTGCTTCATCATTCTCACCATTCAATATTCAAGAAACATCCATAATCTTGTTGTGTTAATTATTAGTTTGTCTTCTTTTGATTCTAATGCACATAATTTTTGTTTTTTTATCCAAAAATTCCAACCTAAACCTTCAATTACCCCCTACCCTTTTCCCTCCCTCCACTATAAGAAAAATCAAATTTACCACTAAAAATGATGGTCGAGTAAGTAAAACATGACTCTCGTACTTAAATATTACAAGTTCAATTATTGTCAATACTTTTTCAGTCAAGCCCATTGCACAGAATTTTCTTAGTAGGGTTTGCATCATTTTGTGGTTTGGGAAAATCAAATTTACCACTAAAAAGGGATGGTCGAGTAAGTAAAACATGACTCTCGTACCTAAATATTACAAGTTCGATTATTGTCAATACTCAAAGTCAAGCCCATTGCACAGAGTTTTCTTAGTAGGGTTTGCATCATCTTGTGGTTTGGAAATTATTACACATATAAACAGGATTTATCTAGTGCACAACTTCAAGTAGTGTGCGGATTTTTCTTGTCATTTAAAAAAAAAAATTATATTTACCAATAAAAAATTTGTAAGTAAATTAGAAATTCATATTTAATTTACCAATAGATTTTTGTAGGTAAAAAATATTAAAATATGTAATTATTTACTTTAAAAAAAAAAAACAATTTAATTTCGTTGTTAAATCGGTAGATATTTTTTTTGTTTTGTTATAGTGGTCCCTTACTTTCTTTTGGAGGTAGGAAGATGGGATTGATAAATGACAATTATACTCAATGCACTACGCTACTGAAGAGGTTCTTGATGTATAAGTCGTCTTAAAATTTATAGGGAGTGTTTAGTAAATAATTGTTAGCTGATACCTGTTAGTTGATTGGGTTAGTGGGTTTGACTAATTAATATTATTAGCTTATTTTTAAAAAAAAAAGTGTTTGGTAAATTAGTTATTAGTTGATAGCTGATTATATGCAAAATGATTTTCTCAAAAATTTATCGAAAAAACTGCATTGAGCAACTTTTTTAAATTTTAGCATTTTAGAGCAATAAATTATTACAAATTCTTAATCAAACACGTATATTGATTATTTAACCAAGTCAAACAGCTAATAGTAATTAAATAAGTCAAAATTGACAAATAACAAAGCCGTATTTTTTAAATTTCATGGTTTAGGGGAAGAAAAAAAAAACGACTATATATGGTGGGACTCCAATATATTCATAACAAGCAAATTGAATTGGTAGCATGACTTATGAAGTGAAATGAGGAAGTTAGCCACTCAATTCTTGGTTGGTTTGTTTCATTGTTTAGCATGCAAAGATCATAAAACGACTAGAGAAGATTTGCTCACAAAAGCCAAAAATTTTGGCGTCAAGGGCCCCACATCCCGCTCCAACAGGACAATAGAATGGTAAGTCATAGTGAATCAGCGACTTATATGGTGGGAGGATCAGTGTCAGATGCTCACAACAAGGGAAAATTATATCGTGCACCGAATCGATTATGCACCGAGCTTCAAAATGACGTCGTTTTGTTTAATGAAAAGAAATGGCACCCGTTTTGCGCCGTTCCGCAAAAAGTAACTTTGTTATTCAGTTTCATTTTGTATACACTGCAGTTTTAGTTCAACACAACTACAGTTTCATTTCGATATAACTACAGTTTCATTCGACATTTATAAACTCAAATATGTGAAAATGTTATTTAATTTTAATTTATTTTATATACACTATAGGTTCATTAAAACACAACTACATGATCATTTCGATATAACTACAGCTTCATTGCACAATATACACTCAAATATGTGAAATGTTATTCGATTTCATTTTATATAAACTGCAGTTTCATTTCACCACAACTACAGTATCATTTCGATATAACTGCAGTTCATTTGATAATATATATAAAATAATACGTGAGGCAGTATCATATTAGATACACTGTAATGTCAGTTTAGATACACTGTAGTTTCAGTTGGTAATTAACACACCCAAAAATGCGCACTCCATTAACAGAAACGGCGCCGTTTTGACCGCGGTGCACGTGCACTGCGGTCCCCTATATAACGACTGCACAACAAAACACCCCCACAAGAGGGTGAAACCCCTATATTGTAGTTGTCAAGGCCAGACCTAATTAATATACATTGAGAAGAGAAGAACTTTTAAATGGACAAATGGTATGATGTAATAAGGTTTATGATAGAAACGAGAATGGTGCCAATTGCCAACCAAAGAGATGTTTTGTTTGTTTTCCAAACATTTTTCCCCTTTTTATTAGAGTTTTAAAAGGAATATGATTTCAATTTATTTGCATATAGTGATTAAAATAGATAAATATAAATGTAATAAACACTTCACAAGTCAATACAAAGAAATTTGAATTTTCTATACCACCTATAATAAGGTTGAAAGCTAAGTGCCATCCACTGGGTACAAGCTAGCTAGCTGTTTTGATTAGTTGTGTGCAAGTTAAAGTTTGCTGTCATTTGAGAATTAGCCCAAGTATATACAAGTGTATTGATAACATGTATGTATTATATATGTATCAATCAATTTCATGAATGTGCTTATTGCCTAACCTTTTTGTAATGCTCTTTTATTTATTTTTTTTCTACTTACGGCATTCAGTATTTTCAAACTAATATGGATATATATATATATATATATATATATATATATATATATATGACTTGTATTGCCTTCATCATGTTGACTTTTACTCTTGTAAAAGTCTAGCCTAAATTTCTTTTAACATTGTTCACCTATATATATATATATATATATATATATATATATATATATATATATATATATATATATGACTTGTATTGCCTTCATCATGTTGACTTTTACTCTTGTAAAAGTCTAGCCTAAATTTCTTTTAACATTGTTCAGCCATATATATATATATATATATATATATATATATATATATATATATATATATATATATATATATATATATATATAAAATAAGAATCGACCCGCATGGGCAGCTCAACTGGTCACAGGGGTAAAACTTTGGTCGAATGACCAGGAATCGAGTCTCACCAGCGACAGTGTCGGAGCAACCTCTCAAAGTGAGGGGGGTTTTTTGTGCGCAGTGAGCACAGGTCTAGCCCTGTCGGGTTGGGGTTCAGCCTTTTGGAAGAATAATAAGAATCGATCCTACAATCTTGCCGTTGCATAACTTTTCTTTTTTAAATTTTATTAAAGAATAATGTTTTTTTTTTTACATTTTATTAAAGAGTAATTTTAAGCCTACTTTTATTTTTTCTACAATATTTGTTACTGCCTATTAACGTGATACATGCAAATTAACTTTGAAAAAATGAGTCACCCAAAAAAAAGTCACGATTTTTTTTTTAAATGTGTCTTGTTTGAGAAACACAATGCATATAATGTGTGTATAATATAATTATGAACCCCCCGGCCCCCTCCCCCCCTTACCTTTTTAAATTTACTAACTTGATATGAAATTATTACAGCTAATTTAATATTGGTATCATTCAAAATTATTCAAATGTTGTTAATTATATATACATATATATATATATATATATATATATATATATATATATATATATATACACATACATAGGATTTCATTTATGTGAGAACATTTTTTAAAGTGAGAACATGCGAACTTCTCAACAAATTAATTGATTAAATCATAATTTTAAACAATTAATTAAATCCTTAATATTGCAATGTCATATTATATCACATTGAAGTTATCTCAACACCTAATTATGTATTTATTGTCAATTTACATGAAGTTCTTAAAAATTAGATGGCATGTATAATAGATTAATTAACTCATATGGTACTTGGCTTGGCCTAGCCATGGAATTCTCGCCCCTTAATAAAAAATTTATAGTTCCGCCCCTGATTTCAGTACCTCGTTTCTAAAATGAGTTAATACCCAAAATCGTCCTCGACTATAGTGGTTTTTCTCAATTTCGTCCTAAACGACTTTGGTGACCTAATATCGTCCTAGACTTTTGTGTTTCGCTCAATTTAGTCCCAGACTTTTGTGTTTTTGCTCAATTTAGTCCCTCATTTGTTATTCTGTCCATTTGGTGTTAAATAAATAGACAATTCAGTAATTTTAATATTGACATCTCTTTACTCATAGACATGTGAACTGCGAAATCCTTTTTTTTTACGAATTACTCCCAGAATTACTCCTAAAACTGCGAATATAAAATTTGATTTGCAAGTCCGGGAGTAATTCTGGACATAATTCGTACAAGAAAGAGGAATTTCGCACTTCACAAGTTGAAAGTAAAGAAAGATCAATATTGACGTTACTGAATTGTCCCTTTATTTAACACCAATTTGACGGAATAACAAATGGAGGACTAAATTGAGCGAAACACAAAAGTGTGGGACGATATTAGGTCACCAAAGTCGTTTAGGACGAAATTGAGAAAAACCACTATAGTCGAGGACGATTTTGGGTATTAACTCTTTCTAAAATTGAAAGAGACGAATATTGTAGTCCCTTCTGGCGCTTGCAAAAAGAAGGAAAAAAGAGTGATTTTTTTTCCGAAATTGTCTCTCCCTCCAGCTATTTCCTCTTGTAGCATGAAGGTTTTGGGGGTAAAAGGTACCAAGGTAAGCTATCAAAATAACTCACTCACGTAATGCACCAATCCTTAAACCTAGGACCAAAGTTACGAGAACTTATCAAAAACCCGACAACTAGACACACGAGATGGAGAGCTACGTAAGTTAAAGCTACCAAAAATACTAAGTGCCTCTTTTCAAGCGGGGAAAAGCACAAATTCTATCTCTTGCCTTTCCCCTCACAACTCCTCCCATCCTTCTTTCACTGATCGAGTCTCACCAGCAACATTGTAGGAACAACCTCTCAAAGTGAGGGGACTCCTTGTGCACAATAAACAAATGTCTAATATCTGTGTTTAGCTGAATTACCATGATTTACATCATCCAAGATGTCGGGATAGGGTGTGAAGGGCTCTTGGGGTTGGAATTCAACCTTTAGGAAGAATTGAAAATCATCTCTCAAACTTTATACCTTAACTTTTTCCATTTTAACGATCGATAATTCGATATGCTTTCACCTTTCCAACAATCGAGAGAATTTAACCCAACAGTTTAGAACAGTTGGTTGGCTGATTGTTAATATAGGCATATATATAACTACAGAGTCGAAGGGTCGACTCTTGTATGTGTGCCCGTGTTAAAAGGTTTTGAATCTAGCTTTCATCGAGTAAGGGTCAACCTGGAATGAATTCGAATTGAGGAAGGATACTAGATACTATATATATACATATATAAATTCTAGGGGGAAAACTAAAGGGTTTGCGTGACTTAACTTCTTAGAGAATCAACTTTTGCTTAATTTATTATTTTTCATCAACTTAAAAGGTTTCTTTACAGAGCCTTGTCCAGAAAGCATGATTCACTTTCATCGGCTATTTAGAGCCGAGGAATTGATACTATAACCCAGAGATGTGTTGTGTTCTTTATTTGTGTGATGACAATGTTTGTTTGATGCCTACAATGTTGTCATGAAATAAGATACCCCCACCCTCACCATCACCAAACAGAGAATCAAGTGAGAATTATGGGAATAATGGGAATTCTGACCTGTCTTCCACCGTTTCAGATGAGAGGAGCCATGGATGGTGAAGCTGTGGCGACCTTTGCCTCGTTAGGTGCCGATATCAGAAGCCTGCAGCGATCACTGGCGGAGAACGAGCTGTCGCTTCAATGGTGCAATGAAGCGGTGGCTCTGCTGAAGAAGATGCATTCTATGCTTGTCGTTTTGTTTGAGAACGTGAAACCGCCTTTGTCGTGGAGTGGCATTAGCAGCAACCATTTGGATGAGTACATGGATGAGAGCTTGGACATTTTGGAGCTCTGCAACCTGCTGAAATACGCGGCATCTGGTATCAACAGGTATTGCCTCAAGATCGACTTTGCACTCGAGGATATCCAGAGTGGGGAGGTTGATTCCCTGCACGAAATTCAGAAACCGGAACTGGATAGCAACAAAGTCAGTAAAATTGAGAGGTGGAGAAACACCAACACGCATAAACCTGCAATAACTAAACACAAGGTCAAAGACAGTTCATTCAGCGTTATATACGGGCTCAGATCAGCCATGAATATCATCTCTTTGATCCTTCTCTATGCATTTCGCTATCCTATCCCTACGAAACATGAAAAGCTGCATTGCCTCAACCCCCAACTGAAACCATTCATGGACTCTGTAAAAGATCTCACCTCGTGTTTTGAGCAAAAACGCCAAATGCCTGCAGAAAATCTGAGTGCGGGCTTCCTGGAGTATGATTTGATGGAGAAAGCTATTGATGAACTCAGAGCTCAGCTTAATAAGGAGAAGGCTGCAGAAGAAGAGAACTTACAGGCAAGCAGAAGGTTGGTAGAGCAGAAAGCTATGGCTCTGAAAGCTGGTTTGAAGGTGTTTGAATCAGAAATCATTCAGCTTTTTGAAGCAGCACTCAGGGGAAGAAACAAGTTGATTCAGATGATCATGAAAAATTAATGCAGCTTAGATTGCTTTCAAATTTGAATGTCCATTTTGTTCAAAAGATACAAAATCAGACATGCCAAGGAAAATAAACCAAACATTCAGAGATTCTCTGTAGTCTGTACTCTGTGTGGATTTCATTGTGGAAACTTTTCTTGTAATTTTAGTTTGAGTGATTTTGATTGCTATTCTCTCCTTCTGTCAATTTTCTTTAAAAATCTCTCCTTTCTGTGTGGTGAAACTTACTCAACCATATTTCTACATATATGACACAGATTAAGGGACTCTACATATGCTGCATAACTATAAACAATAAGCGTTTAGCATTAGCAAGGTGACAGTAATCTGTAATGAAAACAGGAAAAGATTTCCTTCCAAATTAAAAGACACCAGAAAATTCACAATATGCAGAAACACCAATTCAAAAGAAGATAAAACAACGCCAGATATTTCTGACACATCTAGTTCAGTGAACGACATGAGATACAAAAGGAGATAGTTCTTGACTTCATAAAAGCAGAGTAGAAAACACCATCAAAATTAATAAGGGAACAGTTAATTCGGCACCCGGTTTGTACAGGAAAGAATACATTCTATACCTGGAACTATCACATTTATAAATACATGTGAAGGTACAGGGGTGCTTCACCTTGCAAGCAGAAGGCAATGGATGAAACTCTAATGCTAGAATGGAGCTCCAGAGCGAACCTTCCCGAAAAGCCGAGTCAGTACAGGTCACAGTACAAACTTGTCTCAGTACAGCTGGACATGGAACCCTTTCCAGAGAAGATTGCCAACATACAATGAAGTATTGCACATAATTGCAACTTTGTTGCGTGTTTGTGAATTGTATCAACTGGAAGCAATCGGTTATAGCGTCATTATGAGTACAACACAGAAAATGAACTATCCACCAAAACTTAGTGTATTTCCCAAGTCTACTCTGTCTCAAGTTGGGAGATAATCTTCCTCCTTTCCTCTGATCGGTGATGGAATAATTTAGCTATCTTTCGCCTCTCACAGTCCTACAGAAAAATGACAGATTTAACATAATTAAATCTTTTGATAAAATCCACTAGCAAATTGTGCAAGAGTTTAGAAGCACTATTCACAGGTGTGTCACCTTGAACATATTGAGATAAAAAGGTTTCTCAGGGTTCATCCTTCTTAGTTTGAAGTATGTATATGCAAAACTCAGCTGATCACGAGGGGTAAACCGGTCAACCTCATTGAACCAAAGGCATGAAAATAAGTTTGACATAGGTGTGTGAGCTCTCAAAATAAAAGAACCTTCAGGTACATCTGTCAAATAACAAATGTTAATTTTTCAAGGAGTATGACAAAGTTGAAGATGCAAAATTGAAACATACTAATACATACTGCTAGGAAGTAGCTTCTCAGGATCTGAAGCATCAAATCGTTCTAAGCCATCAGCCCGGTAGAACTCAAATTGCTCATCTATGACTGTATGATTGTACTTGTTAAGTTTCTTGTTTTGAGCCACTTCTTCCCAAACACAGTGCCGATCATAGTGATTGGAAATAGCATATTCATGACCCTTCCGCCAAAGAAAATATTCCAATATAAGAACAGGGTCAAGCTGCAGTCGCAACTTGCTATCCAACCAAATTGAATACCTGAGAATTTTGAAAATAGAACATACATAGAACAAGGAAATTAGCATCTCTCTTTCACAACAGGCATGCATGGTGTAAAAATAATCCACAAAAGATCCAACCGTGGCATTATTGAAATAATAAGAAAAATTCTATGGCCCCTCAAATGGACTGACTTCTTTGCCAAATGAATACTGGAGTTCTCGGCAGATTTTTTAGACTTGGAATAATATTCAATTTGAGATACAGTGTAATAGGACGAGGAAACTCTACATGTATCTAGAACCAATTAGTAACATTTTCTCACCTGGCTGAAGTAAAAAGTCTATGCGACAAAAACTTTGGTATCTTTCCCACTCTCCGCATATCATCATAAGGCAAATTTTTCACCACCACAATTTTCCATAGACCAATAAAGCCCATGCTATCCAGCATCTGGCCTTCTGAAGAAAGGGTCTGCATAGTAACTTCATCCACAAACATAACAAAGCAAACATTTTTCCTTGAAAAACGAGAAACCTGAAGAAGTAAAATGAAAAAGTTACTTCTATACTTGCTCGAGTGTACTAAATTGATGTACTGTAATAATAATACAGAAAGCTCAGAACAGAAATAGAACATGGAGACACTACTCTCAAAAATAAGTGCATGCTTTTACTTGTCTCATATGCATATCTCATTTGATGCATTCATAAAAACTATTTATAATTTATTTTCAATATTTTTTTTTTCTCAAAAAGATGCCAAAGGTTCAAGCTTTGATATAAATTCAAACTCTTCTGAAGTGTGAATACAAATTATTTAAATTTAGAAGAAAAAAAAATTGCATGACACTATGACTGTGCATGATTCACTTCTCATTCTCATTCTTCTGGAAGGGCAGGACACAAATTGAGAGACGGGGCACTAATACAATGAGAAAGTATTTGGAAAAACATGTGTGCTAATTCAAACACAAGCCCGTAACACAATGTATTGAAAGTATCATCAACCTCAAGCATTTGAGAAGTGGACAAATCGCATAAAGCATATCAAATAAAAAGCATTCAAAATAAGCACCAAAAAAATTGAAATGGGGGAAAAGTAACTTTATAGGTACCAGTTTGCCTACTGGCATCCTCAAGCGATCTGAATTTCCAAATATACATGAAACAACAGCAATGTGGCAAGTGCTAATGTATTTTGCATCATCATCTGCCAAGTCAAAGCCTGTAGATGGAGCTCCTTCAGGACCTTTGACAAAGCCACAGTTTATTTTCTGATCTTGTGCAAGAAAAGATTCTTCTCTTTCTTCCAGAGACTGATGCCCAGCAAATCTTGGTTCCCAGTTTTCACCTTCAACAGGCTTATGTTCTCTTTCAGTATACTGCAAGGAAAATCTTGCAAATTTTCGGCTTTCTAAAGGTTCTACAAGCAGTTCAGTAGAATTCAAAAGTTTCATCTCACAGGGGCCTGTAAATGGAATGCACAAAGTTTGAATACAATGAGTTGGACCCTATGCATGAGGTTCCTAAATCACATAGGTCATCAAGGAAGATGTACACAATGTTACCCCAATTTTTAGAGAGGTTATCACAACAGCACTAGAATGATAATCTAACAGAGTAACAGTAAACAGGTGAGCACTTGGCCATTACACCAAGCTCAACCTTCATTAAAGAATACCATGCATATATGTTTAAAAATTTAAATTGACACTTTACCAAGAACAGCAGTAATAACACATTCAAAGGTTGAAAAGCTCTCCTAAGGGCTTAAGGAAACCAATTCCATAAGAGGCTGCAGAATACTAAACTCTAGCTCTAAAACAATGAAATGTTGTTTATTGAGCTGCAACTTCTTGATATTTAGATATTTCTGATACTTGGCCACTAGCATGTATATTTCTTTCCATTTGAACTTTGAAGGTTGTTTCACAAAGTTTAGTAGTATTATTTAGGTACACAACAGCAAATAACAGTAGGTCATGTAACCACATGAGGCTGATAGAATCCAAAACAAATAGCACATAGAAATACAAGAAAAGGAAAATGCTACTAAACTTACGCCGCTTTGACTTCTTCCTTGAAGCTAGCCGCTTTTCAGATGTAGACCTTCTTGCAGAGTGTCTTTCATTTCTTGCATCCAAATGACCTTTAGAATGTTGAGTGCTTGAAATGAGTTCACCTTTAGAGAAACCAGTTAAACCTTTACCAACCTCTACGGCACTTTTTTTGTTCTTGGCCCCATCATCATGTGTATCAAAAGGATGTATTTCATCTCTGTCAACAGCTCCAGGATGGTCCTCATCTTCATGGCCCACCTCATCATATCCTTCTGCATTCGTGTCATCCAAATCAATGCCATCATCATATGCATCATCAATGTCTACAGCCTCACTCTTCTTTCCCTTATCAGAATCAGATGGATGGTTGTTCTTAGCATTATATCCCTGTTGTGATTGTCCAACATTGTTCAAAGAGGCCTGATATTCAGCTTCATACGCTTTCAGTTCATCACGCCCAGATTCACCATATAAACCTTTGCCTCTATAATCCAAACCTCTATGAGATTCAGTACTTGAAGATTTCTTATCACTATTCTTGCCCTTTGGAGGAGAATGGAGTTTATCCAAAGAACCATCAAGACTCCTCTCCAACTCCTCTTCACTGTAACTATCATCTCTGGTCCTGTCATCCCTGTCCCAACCCCGGGAATCCCTGCCATGTTGAACCGATCCATGTCCAAAATGGACTTTTTGCCTTCGTATTCTTGTCACGTTAGTAAGAAAATCGGTATCATTTTCAATGTCAGCATCCTGTGCATGACTATTATCAAATTCTGCAACAGCAAAGAAAGAGAACATCTTATAGATAATAACCTGGTGAGCACTTCTCATTACCAAGAAAACTAGAATTCCATGCTGTTTAAACAGATTATGATGGCCATAGTTCCATTCAATTATCAGTAAATTTTAGTAATAGATCCTTAACCTGGCTCAAATAAACAAACTTTATTAATTTCCATTGCTCTTTTAAATGATTCAATTAATTAAGAAAAGCTCAATCAACTTCAACTTAACCTAAATGTAATTATCCAAAAACTAACGACATTAAACATAAGGTTCTGCACTATGAATCAAGCTGCAAGCTTCACTCTACTTATCAAAAAAGTCAAGTAGCAAACTCGTACGATACACTGAAGGATCCGTATATTTGAGTATGGATGTGGATATACCTTTATTTTGGGAAGTGAAGTATACAAAAGCGAGGACGGAGGCGACAAAGCAGAGGCAGAGGATGACAATGATACCGCCGACCGAGATTTTGTTGCTCTTAAGCCGGCGGTGGTGGCCATGGAGAAGCCGCGATTGCTGCTGCTGCTTGTGCGCAGAGGACCGAACCGCAATCGAGACGTGATTCGACGCGACACCGTTCCTAGCTAATCCTCCTCCGCCGCCATTACTGTAACCACCAGATTGCCTGTACTGAGCCATTTCGCGGATTGCGCAGTACGCTAGCAACTGCAAAGATACTACTCTGTGAACATGTGTTTGAATAGGCGTAGTTGTATCACTGGCGATTCGGATGCAGAGTAGAGGTTACCGGAAAGTTTTGGGAGATTTCTGAGACGCCGGGAAATGAATCGCGGAGACGGAGACGGGAGAGGGTCGGCGATTATGCTTGGACCGCCGTGTGTAGTTACTAAACCACCCTTGATATTGTTGACTTAGGAGTGTATTCAATTAAGACTTTTAACAGACTTTCAAAACTATTAATTAAAGGGATAGATTTTGAATCACTTTTGTAAATTTTTTTTGTAGGAAATATTAAATACACCCCCTTAATAGGCATTTAGTTGAAAGGAGGGAATTATGTAAAAATAAAGTGATAATTTAAATTTCAATATTTGATTTATAAGAATAAAATTATTGAGAATTTCAATTTCAATTCAATGTTCAGTATACATGAAAATCGAAAGGAAAAAAGTATTATAAAGTCTCAAATGGTCCTACTTATTATTATTGTTATTATTATTATTATTATTATTATTATTATAAAATATAAATCTTAAATGACCAAATTCAATTTTTGCTTTTGAAAATTTATGGAACACGTTGTAAATAAAATAGATAAGAGAGTTTTGAGAAAATATATTTGATTGAGGTTGGCTTACCGATTAACGTTCTGTGTTGAGAGTAAAAGCAAAGACACACTATAATCGAAAGAGAGATGTCAAAAATCAATTTTAAATTTAAAAAAAAAAAGTATTTTATTTTCATCGACAACATATGAATTGTTCAACGTTACCAAAAATTAATAAATAGTGTACAGTGCTCCAAAAGATGTGGTTAAATGGATGGAGCATGATTATCTTATCCAAAGTTACGAGTTTGATGCTTATCAATATCCTTACAAGTTGAATATGTGATTTATCTCTTTTATATGATTTGTGCATCTTTAAATAATAATTGTGGGTTTCTATAGTCACAACACAATGATTAAAATATATTGCGGAGTATAATTTAACACATGCATTAATAAATGAATATCAAAAGTAATTTTTATAAATGAATATTGAATGACTCAAATCTCATGCATTTATGGAGCAGCATGTTGTTGACTCACTACTAACTCATTTTTTACCTACTTTAATAATAACTTTATATGTAACATATTTGAATTAATTCCACCAAAGGTTCTTTGTCTTTGGTAACAATTTTAAATTTAGTATACACTATCAGACTATTATTTTTTGAATATTTTTAGTCTTTATCATGACTTTTTCTTTTTTAGTAAGAGTATTTTTGTCTCTTAATATTTTTCTTTTATTATTTTTCCAGTTTCAGCCGGTTTAACTGGCTTAAGACTTTAATAAAAATCGGTTGAAAAAATATGATTATTAATGCAATTTAGACTATCATTTTTAGACCAACTATTTAGACTATCGATTTTACAAAGTTGCAAATATTTTTTTAGTGACAATTATAATGAATTTCCTATATTATCTTGCATTTTTATATTTTGAGTTACATATTTAAATAAACAGATTCAACATTCAATTACCTATGTATGAACTTCTCCTATATAATCTTGCATTCTTGCATGCATTGATATGCTTTCGAATTTTTATTTAAATATAAACATTGGGCATTAACTCATTCGTGCAATCTACGTGTAAAACTAGTACGAGAATAAGAATGAATATCATTTGGAGATCTTGTATCCCACAAGGAATATTACTTTGGAAGTTATGTTTTTTTTTTTTTTTTTTTTTTTTGAGAATAAAGGTTTAATTCATTAGATCATCACAAAGAGAGTTTACAAGAAAATTAGGTGGATCAGATAACCACTCTCCGCAACCTAACTCAGAAACAGCAGCCCGAGCAATAGTATGGGCTGCGCGATTCACAGATCGCTTAATTCAATATTTTAATTCATATGCTACATTCCCACTCTAATATTCAAAACTTTAATGTGACAATTTTAATTAATATGTATAATTTTTATTACTTTTTTAGGTGACGATCGAGAGAAACATACAATTATTATTTAAGGGTGTATACTTATAAATCACATGCCTATTTAATAATTTGCAAATCACATATAAAAAATAAAAGAGGTAAATTATATTATAAACACTATGTAATAGAGCTAATAGCATTCAAAAAAAAAATATTATAAACACTATGTGTTACAAATTTGACCGAAAGGATGTTGACAAGAAATTGAAAAAAAAAAAAAATTTATTGTCACGTAAACATTAGCAAGTAAAATGGAAGATAAAATAACAATATTCTTCTAATGTTATAATACTTAAAGACTAATTAAGAGATCAAGTATAATGTATCAGAACTATGTGGTCTAATGGTATCCGGGTTGGACTTCTATTTGGAAGGTTGTGAGTTCAAGCTTTAGTGGAGGCGTTATTGGCTCTTTGTGTTTCAGTAGGTTGAGAAAGTATATGAACAGATACTACAATATTATAGAGCTAGTAGCATTCAAAAAGAGATCAAGTATAATAAGTAGCAACACAGGCGTTTCGCATAAATAATGGGATAATTATAGACCACAAGGTCCTTAGTTTTTAATTTTGTATTTAATGAAGTCTTCAATTCAACATAAATTCCACTTTCAATTACTGCATTATATTCCTCCTCTCTCTTTCTCTCTCTTTCTCTCTCTCTCTAATATCAAAAGAAAAAAGCTATATATATTTCGTCAACAAAATCTTTAATTTAATTAGCCATGGCCAATGAAAGGTCAACGTTGTTGATGTTGCTGATCTTCTGTTTTATCATAGTACATGAGGTATTTTAATTAATTTATATTAATGTATACAATTTCCGTAATTTCAGGTACTATGATTTTAATTTTCAGGTAGAGATATACAGTGGTCACCACTTGATAGTTGCTGCTATAGGTATGTATGCAAAATATATTTAATTTCATGAAAGAAATTCTACGATATAATGGTAATATAATGTTATTGATAAAATTTGAAATTATTGATATGATCTTACAATTAATGTGAAAAGAGAATTCTTGACGCCCATAGAGAAAACAATGAGAATTTGTAACATTACATATAGAAATTAAAAGATTAGAGTTGATATATGGGATTGAAGAGTTAATGTAAAAATAGAATTCTTTACGATAGAGAACATAATTGGAATTTGAAACATTGTAATTTATATTTATTTAGATTAAATTTTATCCGGGACATAATCTTTAATTTTATTATCACCAGGACTATGTGGTCTAATGGTATCCGGGTTGGACTTCCACTTGGAAGGTTGTGAGTTCGAGCCTCAGTGGAGGTGTTATTAGCTCTTTGTGTTTCAATAGGTTGAGAAAGTATATGAACAGATACTACAATGTAATAGAGCTAGTAGCATTCAAAAAAAAAAAAAAAGATTAAATTTTATCACGTAAGGCTAATTTTTTTAATTTTTTTTTGGGTGACGAGTGAAACTCATTTTTTTTTGGGTGACGAGTGAAACTCAGACCACTATCTAAGGGGTTGTTTGGTAAATAATTGTTAACTGATTGGGTTACTGAGTTTGATTAGTTGATGATAACATTAGCTGATTATAGAAAATTGTTTGATAAATTAGTTGTTAGCTAATAGCTGATTACAAGCAAAATGACTGTCTCAAAAAATTGATCGAAAAAGTTGTTTTTGAATTTTAGCATTTTGGAACATAAGCTGTTACAAAAAACTAATTAATCAAACGTTCATATTGAATGTTTAACCAAATAAAACAGCTAATAATGGTTAAATAAGTCAAAATTGGCTAATAAGCTGACTATATTACTAAACAGGGTCCCTATGTTATGAATTCGATCAAAAACGTGTTGACAATAATTAAACTCGTGACCTTCTGAAATGTAAAGAATATTTAATTTTATGCATGCGGTGCAGATTGCCCGTCAAAATGCAGTAATCGATGCAGCAAGTCGGGGAGGCATAAGATGTGCATGAGGGCATGCAAAACTTGCTGTCAAAGGTGCTATTGCGTGCCGGCCGGGACCGCCGGAAACGAGGATGTTTGCCCATGTTATGCCAACATGACAACACACGGTGGACGCCACAAATGCCCTTAATTAATTAACCAATTAAATTATATATATGTACGTAATAAAGTGCGAATTGATCTTAACGTGTGAACTTGCGAACTACTTAAAGATTGCACTGCATTTACTACATGATTGTATTGCACCAGATACGATTTCATTATAAAGGTCCTCCAGACATGCATGGGAGCCGTTGGGGTGCAATCACGTATTAGTTACGGTTTAATCGTTCAGTAGTTCGATGGTTAGCAAGTTAAAGTTGGTTCGTATCTGATTATGATATATATATATATATATATATATATATATATATATATATCTATCTTCAAGGTTTATATATATAACCACGATAAGAATTTATCAATTCACGTTTAATTCTAAGATTTAATTTCATATTCGAGTTTTATGGCAAAATGATGCGTTGAAACTCTCGGTGGTAGCATTTTCATGTTTAATTAGAAAATGTTTCTATATTGAGAACACAACATTAAGCAATATAACTGTACATTGTTTTCTTAAGAACTCTCGGCGCTCTTATCTGTGAAGATTAATTGAAATATATCATGCTTCAGCTCAGTTGACTATATTCATACCTTTCTTTTTTGGTCTTTAGTAAAATGTAAATATTATATTGCACTTTATGACGACTAACAAAGCAAAATCTCTAATGTAACTATTTATTTTGAATTAATTGACCAATTAAATTATGTTGCGAAATCAACATGTAATATATACATGAACACTAAAGCGTGAATGCCTTTATTATTCCAAGGATTGGAATTGTCTCTCCAAGAAAACAAAAAATAAAATAATACAACCAAACATCTATCCTACTCATCAATATAATATATATAATATAAATGCAGCATTTATATATTAACTTTATTCCATTTACCTTGCCCACACATTATATTGTACCATACTTGTACACTTTACCCTTCATCATCCTCTCAAAAAGATATTCACTTGCAAACTAAAATTTAAGGGCATTTGGGGCGATTTCCATGGGTCTTGAGCTTGGCATAGCAGGGACAGAGATGGGCGTTGCCGTAAGTGCCCGGCGGGACACAGTTGCACCTCCGGCAGCACGTCGTGCATGCTCGACTGCACACATTCTTTCTCGACGCCTTTCTGCATCTTCTTCCACAAGCATACCCACAATCTGCACATCCATATATAGTTGTATAAGATAAAGACGTACGTGTAAAGTGACTATTTAAATACACGTTTGATTTAGATCTAATGGGATATAAGTCTCGGGTCTAAACTGATGACTAACTAGCTAGTATATAAATTTTGGGATCAATCTAAAATAATAAGGTAGCCTTATGACATAAAGTGACTACTCAATACAATTTTAGATTCATTGGGATATAAGAGGGGCAGACTAAAATAATGACTAGTATATAAATCTTGGGAGTTGGGATCTAAAGTGACAGTCAATATATAAGTCTTGAAATCATCTAAGGTAACTATCAAGATATTAATCTTATGGCATAAAGTGACCACCTAGATAAATAAATTTAGATCTTTATAAGATATAAGTCTCGTGATCTAAAATAATTATCGAAATACAAGCTAGTTTTATGGTGGAGGAAAGTGACTATCCAAATACAAGTTTAGATCGAATATGGTATAAATTTCAGGGTTCCAAAATATAAGTTAGGTCTATTGGGATATAAGTCTCGGGGCCTAAAGTGACAATTAAGATATGAATTTTGGTATACAATTTATATAGTCATTACATATTCTCAACCAAATTTAGAGAAAAAACTCAAAAAGGGAAAACAATTGGGAATTTAATTAATTAATTTTACTTACTTATTTTTGCATGATGATAAACTTTTTTCGTAAGAGCTGCTTCATCATCTTTACCAGCTCCACCTACCTGATTGCAGAAAACATTAAAAACCCACAATTAATGCTCACTCCTTAAACCACTCAAATCATTAATTAATCAAACAATTAAAAGATTCATTGCTGAATCCCCAACTCCAGGCCCCCGCACCCCGACCAGATAGAGTATTTGGCAGGATGTAAATCAATGGCTACAGGGTAAAATATTTGTGCGTACAAGAGATCTGTCCACTTTAAACATAATTCTCACATATTATCACTATCGAGGTTCGAATTTGGTCTCTTTTTCTAAATATTGTTTACTGAATCAGTGAGCTAAACTCGTGATAGCTAAAAGATAAGAAGCATAATTACCTGTGCAGGAAACTTGTCAGAATGATCAGTGGCCAATGCCTCTGTGAAAACCTGAAGGAGGAGAATGGCAATGAGGAAAGAAGATGAAAGCTTCATATTGTTGAGAGGAGAGGGGAAATTTAATTTAATTTGATGCACTGAAATTAAAGCCGCATTCAATTCAATTCAGTGTTGTGATTGAATGTGTTTTGATTTCCAAGGTCGGACCATCTTATAAAGGGTTGAGATTGCTGTCGGTTGATACGTACAGATCAGACAGGAATTTTATGTAGTTTAACCTTGTATAAGTGACCCCCCCCCCACCCCCCACCCCCCTCCCTATCCTATGATGTTATATATCATTGGTATTTGTTGAATCTTTCTAACGAAACCACCATAGTATATTTTAAACAAATTAAAGGCATATATGTATATCCCTAGACCCTAGCTACTATACCTAATGAAAATACATTTAAGTGTATAATGTATAGTGTATAGTTGGTATATTTATAAAAATTTAATTTTTTTTGGTGACGAGAAAAACCAGCAATCAGGGTGCACTAAGTAAATCATGTTCTGGCCTATATAATAGCCTATAAATCACACTAATCATTTTGATTTGAAATATAGTATATATAAATTTTTTCATAATTACATCATTGTATGTGTGTCATTGCGTCTTTTAATTTAAAATAAAACACGACATTTTTATATTTTTACATACAATATTGTAACATTTCTCAACATTTCAACATTCAACAATGCTTGAATATAATGTAGTGTTGGGACACAAATACATTTTTGTTGTTCACTTATTTGACTCATATCACATGCATGCATTGAGGTAAGGTGACTAGGTGAGTGCAAATTGAGCAAAAAGGATACAAGCTTCCACACAACTTTGGCTTTTTTCATAGCTTTAGTGTGAGCTTCACAGCTGTGGATTCTTTGGCAGATTGAGGGAGGGGGTATGTATGGACACACAAGATAGAAACAGATGGTCCCCTTTACAGATTGGCATATTTATTAATTTAGATCAATGATGAGATATACCAGCTGTTGTAATTCTTGAGCAACCTAATCGAGTTTGTCGAGCAATTAATTTGGCTGGTAACTACAAATTAGGATTGGTTTTTAGATTTGTGTGGCCTTGTTCGGATAAATAAATGAGATCTTACCAAAATTACAATTTTTCAAATTAATACCGTAATTTTTTCTAATAATAATAATAATAATAATAACAATAATAATAATAATAATAATAATAATAATAATAATAATAATAATAATAATAAGGTGGTAAAATGTTACTGTGCACAAAAAAAAAAAAAAAGGCAAAAGACATTATGGAATAAATTATATTACAATTATAACAATAATAATAATAGTAGTATTGGTAGGGCATATCCCGATCGACATAGCTTGGGTTTTTTCGTTCTTTATGCAGGTTTTACAGGTCGGATACTCCTAAAGGAAGACGGTTGGAACCGACCGGTACACTTCCCGACCGGGGTCTTTTACCCGATTATTTGCCCTTATCTTACGAAGAGTCAAGGATCTTGAGAAGAGGCACATGGCAATGCTACACGTTGACAGAGAGGGCTAGCTGGGTGAAGACGCGTGGATGCTACGTGGGCAACATGCCGGGCGGCCGGAGGTGTGTCTCCGGCCAAGCGGCTATAAATACCCACGTCGGCTACAGTGTGGGGGACTTTTGGAACGATCGATAGATTATCTACAGAGCTGCCCGACCGCAGTCAGTCGGCCTCGGGATAATCACTTAGATTGTATTAGGTCCTTCTTGATCAATAAAAGACTGTATTTGCTTTGACTTGATCGTATTAAGTACCTAGATCGCCTAACACGTGGAATTAGTACTATCAAGTATTATCGAATAAATTACAATTATAACAATAATAATAGTGTGCGCAAACTCGCAATGCAAAAAGATTAAAAAATAAAAAGATATCCAAAGCTAGAGCAACATGCAAGTTTTGAACCTTAGACCTCCAAGTTGAAATTGAAATTAAATACAATAAACACATGTTCCTACCATTTCTTCATGGAGCCTTTTAACTTTAATTGAAAACTTTTAGTTTTTATTTCTAAACTAGCTAGGTAAAAATGAAATATTGGGCCTCTAACATTTGGGGCTCTGTGCGGTAGCCCAGCTTGCACAACTCAAAATCCGGCCCTGCTACAAAGGTTCAAGTTTGACTCCTTGTGCAGTGTGAGTTATCTATTAGTGTTCTCGTTTTTTTTTTTTTTTTCGTGTTCTTTGTCCAACAAAGATAAAGAAGAGAAATCAGCTTGGTTAACGTGAGTGATCATGGACTCTCATCCTTTAAGAGAGGTCGGGAGTTCAAACACTCAGGCCACTTCGTAAGGAAAAATCAATATGCCTAGCACTTTGTTCTTTAATTAATTAGGTCAACAAGGTGTGAATATAATGATTAATTAGTCTGATTATGGTACGGAGATTACTCAAAACACATTATGGTGTAACAAAAAAACAAAGATGAGAACTCTGGGTGTGTTTGGTTGGCAGGTTTAGTACTCAGGTACGGATATAAAAGTGATTGTTATTGTTTGGTTGACTGGTTTTCAGAGCCGTTCCAATAAAAAATGGGGTCCTGTGCAATATCTTAAATTGTGCCCCTTTTTCAAATAATTTGTATATATAAATAGTAGTTGTTCAAAAAGTTGTGCCAAAAATTCAAAATATAAATATTGTATAAAAAATTAATCTAAAATTTCATTTAAAAAGTGACCTGCATCGTGCACATTTAAACACAAAATCATCCACCAAACTTTTGATATCAACTTCTTCTAAAATCTCATTTTCAATAGAGATTAAAGCTAATCCATTGAGTCTCTCTTGCAACATACTTGATCGTAAATAAGATTTCAACAATTTAGAATCTTACACAAGAATATCTATTAATTTAGAATCAAGAGCATCCGATCCCAATTTCTTGGATCATATATGTCAAATAAAAGCGAATCATTTGGTTTATCATTGTGACCAACATCATCTAAACAACTATCAACATTCTTATTATTTTCATTGTGACAGTATACCTATCATCGTTGTGCACACTATCATTTAAATTTTTTCCAATCTCACAATCATCTTGATCTTCTATATAAATATTTGCATCTAACAATTTCCTTGGCATCATCTTTTTATACATCTATTTGAACAAATAATTAATCAAGAAACAAATTCTTGAATATATATTATTCTGAAATCAGAATTATAAATAAAACAATAAATAAGAATGGTGAAATATTTAATAATTTTAATTACCTGTTAAAAGAATTGAAGAACTTGAAAATTTGTGACATTATATAATCAAAAAGAATTGACAATTCTATCGAATTGCGTCTATCGTCTCACTTGTTGTCTATTTGTGAGATTTGTGATTTTGTGTAAAAGCATTAAGAGCTTTCGATAATGTTGTAAATACTCAATGAACTCAAGCTAATTAGCTAATTAAGTAATTACCTAATAATCTAATCTAATATACTGTATACATAAATAATTAAATACATAAAGCCAAAGCACTTAATTAGCAAACTAATAATCTAATCTAATATACTGTATACATAAAAATTAAATACATAAAGCCATAGGGTATAGGGTTGCGTACTTGCATAATAGTGGTAATGCCGAAGCAAGGAAAAACAAGGGTATTGCGGCAATGCCGATTTCGTAAGAGCGGTGTTGCGGTAATGCCGACTGCGGCTTATGCTGCTTAATACATTAATATACAATTTTTATTTTTTTTTAAATTATGGGGCCCCCAAATATTGGGGGCCCTGTGCAAACAATAGTTATGCCGTGCAATCGAATGTACCATGCACATGGTGCATCCGATGCAAAATGACGTCGTTTTGACTAAAAACGCGCGTCCCACTTAAAAAAAAAAAATTCAGGTTCGATTCTCAGCAATAACATTATTGTGGATATATAGTTATGAATTTATGGATATATAGTTATAAATTTGTGGATATATAGTTATGAATTTATGAATATTTAGTTCATTCATTGTGGATATTTAGTTCATTCATTGTAGATATTTACTTTATTCATTCACTGTGGATATATAGTTGTGAATTTATGGATATATAGTTATGAATTTCTGGATATATAGTTATGAATTTATGGATATTTAGTTCATTCATTGTGGATATTTAGTTCAATCATTGTAGATATTTAGTTCAATCATTGTGGATATTTAGTTCATTCATTGTGGATTTTTACTTCATTCATTCATTCATTCATTCATTGTGGATTTTTACTTCATTCATTCATTCATTGTGGATTTTTACTTCATTCATTCACTGTGGATATATAGTTATGAATTTGTGGATATATAGTTATAAATTTCTCGATATATAGTTATGAATTTCTGGATATATAAAAATGTTATTGCCGGGAATCGAACCTGATTTCTTCTTTAAGTGGGACACGCGTTTTTTTAACCAAAACGGCGCCGTTTTGCAACCGTATGCACCTTGCAAGGTGCATTCGGTTGCATAGCATAATTTGCGCTGTGCAAAGGCCTGACTTTCCCAGGGCCGGCCCTGCTGGTTTTTAAAATACTGTTTGAAATATTCCATTAATGGAAAAACTCATTCCCTTATTTTATAAGAGTTTCTTCCTATTATTCATCCTTAGTCTAATCATTCACATTCCACCCTACTACCAAACATGCAAAATACTCTCACAAAAATCCATTATCATTACCAAATATTTGATACTCATTCCGATTCTGATTTCGATTCCCATGTGTGAACCAAACACATCCTTTGTTTTTATTAGATGAGGACGAAGATCATGGATATAGATGACTCATCTTCTTCTATATGTGGTAGAAGATGGTGATACATATTTGAATTGAAGATAAGCCTTGATAAATGTGTTATCACGGCAAGGCCTTCATTAAACTCTAAGTGTCCACGTATCACTCCTTTAATCAATAAATAGTAAATATAACAGACAAAATAAACAAATAGAGTACTATTCTATATTATTATGTTAGCAATCACATGTATTTTCGCGCTAACAAAAAATATGACATATGATAGCGATAAAATGGTATGGTGACTTTTGTAGTTCACATGTATATATGAAGTTTCTTTTGAGTTTTATTTATTTATTTTTTTAAATGAAGTTTCTTTTGAGTTAAATGCACTTTTTAAAAAATTTCTTTGACTTACGAAAAAAAAATTAATTGGAATTTAATGTGTGGGGTGGGGGTGGGGGGATTGTAAAGTTGGTAGCTTTTG